CAAAAGATGTTGTTGATAAGACAGTTTTTTTATTCTTCCAACTTTTTTGAAATACCTATTTTCGTAGTATTCTCCAGTTTCACTCTAACAAAAGTATTTTCTACTGTTAAGACTTTCAAGCTTTCATCTATTTCCTAAATAGTTTTTATGATAGAGATTTTCTTCCATAAACAACGACACTGTACATGAGAAATATCAGCTTGTGCTTCAAGTAGTGTTTAATCTCTTTGTCGCTTAGGATTGGTATCACTATCTAGTGGATAGTCGCTACATTCTTCAACCTCCACTTTCGATGGCTTTATTTCTTCTGGTCTTTGTACAATTGGATTCATGATTTTAAATTTCCAGGGAATTTGGTCCTTTTGTGATCAAATTTTGTGGTCTACTTTGCATAGTTTCCCACAAATAGCACCAAAATTGTGGCCGTAAAAATTGGATCAAGTGATTTATTGACAAACGATTGCAATCAAATATCAATGTAAAATACAATCAATAAATCATCTCACCTAACTTTAATTTTCACCTCCTAAGTTTGTTAGTTTAGATGCTTAAACTAGAACAAGATGAGAAATAGTTACTTGAGTGGGAAATATCTGAATTGCATGCTCTTTCTCAAATGAAGGGGAGTGTTTATAGATTTCTCTCTTAGTGTTTGGGGGTATTTGTTCACTTTTTCTCTATGCCATTCTTCAAAGTTTGTTCATCTATCTCCTTCTCCATCTTTAAGGTTTCTTCATTTTATTTGGTTAGATTTTAATTTTTTTGCTTGTAATATTATATATAATGTTTTTTTCATATAATATTCAAAGAGTTAAACAAAAAATTCTTTGTTTGTAGTGTTAAAGAAATCCAAATCTATAAAGAAATCACAAATGATCAATTATTTGTTAATAGGGTCCAAGAGGTCCGTTAACACAATCCCCAAACGTTTGGGAAACTGGGGTTCGGGGGATCTGGGGTCTGAGGTTTGTTAACGGACCCCTATGAATAAATTGTCGCTTTTAAATTTTGTAATGAGGTGATTATTATTATTATTATTATTATATATTTTTTTAATGTTGAAAAGACCATCGTGTTGAATAATTAGCAAGTTAGGCTTATATAGTGATTGGACGATTTGACGTGGCCATTTTAAAAAGGTGGTTGCATTTTCAGAATAGTTAAATACTTCAATGGTGCTACGCGTATAGAAGTTGCTTCACAGAACTTTTCAAGATGATGTGTCAAGCTTGTTTCAAACCAATAAATTAAGAATAAATTACTAAAGTACTGAATGATTCTCTGAAAACCATGTAAATGTTGACTAAAAAGAAGACACACCCTAGACTATTCCCACTTTTTCCAATCCATTCCTCCTCCCATCTAACCCCGTCCATCTGAAACCTTTAATTATTATAGATGTCGCCGGTGTTGTCGTCTCGAACTCCAGCTACCGTGAATCTGTCAAACAACAAATAACCCAACATCTTCACCTTTGTCACATAATCGAGTGCCCAAACCGCCACAAAGCTTTCAATTTATAGGCGGTGTCGTCGTCTTCTCCGGCTGTTTTCAATGGCTTTACACTAGAACCGACTGCGTAGTGTTTCGAATTCCTTCTTCTGACTGGAAAACCTATACGATATGCATATCCTTTGTAGAAATCCTATAATTCTTTTTCATTGTTGAACATTATACCCACCTCCGGCACCTCAGGCACTATCGAACCATCTTCTCCTACCGTTTCCTTCTCCACTAATATCACATTGCCCGCAACGTTCTCGTCAACACTTCTCTCTACCAAAAATTCATTGCGTACTTCTTCCATTGAACCTCCTACTGCAACACAATAAGTGGCAGAGGTTGAACAAAATATAAATGAATTTCGAAATGTAATATAAAGGTCTTCTCTTTGGCTGGACCTAAAAGCATCTTATTTCAGTTGCATAAAAACTAATACATTCATCAGACCGTAATGTCCACAATGAATTTGCTCCTTAATCAGAAACCATACCAAATGCAACCCCCCATTTTGACAATATAATACAAAATTGAACTGGATTGGAAAAAAATGCTTAGGTCTGTCGAAAAGGAAAAAAATTGCAATAGAAAAGGGGAAAAAATGCTTCAAGGCCCCAATATTTTCTTCTTTTTCTATTTCGAATGTCTAAATTGCAGTGTAAAGCTATGTTCGAAAATCCAATTCAAGCATATTATGAGTTTACGAAACAAGATTTGAACCACCAAAAATGGTCTGCCGCTCACTTAGGGGGTTTTCCGAAGTTGGTAAAGACAAGTTTTCATTGTCACCGGAATCGGACATCACCATCTTCGCAGTCTAGTTCTATGGGGGAGTAGTTGCCGTCAGTGCATACACATGGGTGAGACGAGAAAATCTAGAAAGAGACAAGAAAATCTCATATCTGGGAAGAGATGAGAAAAACTCATCGGAATGGGCGGAAGAAATCTAGCGGGTGGAGTGGTCTGGCTTCCTTCACCTTTTGTTTCTACTTTTAGACATTGACCAGATTTCAATTGTTTTAAACAATATTAAATGTGCTTTTTGTGCCACGTCATGGAAATTTTAGATTTCTCTATGTTTTCAATGAGGCAGTACAAGGAACATTATTCTAAATAGTTTAGTAAATGAATGAAATGGATTGATGTTTGACTTATGAGTTTGACTTGTTTATAAAAATAAGCATGACAGTTTAAACACATAAATAAAATTTGACCAATTAAAAAAATTGATAAAATTTTAGCAAAATTATATTTTAATTATTAATTTTATGTATATGTCTTATAAATTATTAATGTCTTCTGACAGCAAAGCAAGGTGGACGGACAACAAAACAATATAAATACGTTAAATATTAGTTTCATGGAACGATTGCAGATGGGTCCCTAACTTCTTGAAAATGTAGCAAATGACCTAAAGCCTGGTATTTTGACGGCCCTATCTCCAACCTTTCATTTTTGTAACATTTGGAGTCTCCAATTCGACAACTGCCCTATTTTCTTTAATTTAAAATCCAACTTTTTTGTTACGTTTAACTAGCATTATTATTATTATTATTATTATTTTTCTAAAAATGAAATAACAGTAAAACAAAAGCCACCAGCCTCCATAGTCACCCCAACCGTTTCAATGGATTTTTATTAACTATAGCTTCCATAGATTTATTATTATTATTATTATTATTATTATTATTATTAATTTTTTTTAAATAAATTGTAGTTGGGCTAAAAGTCTGCCATCCACGATGGTTGAGCAAGGTTAAGAGCCTCAACGTGATGTGGGAAAGTGCCTGAATTCGTTAGTCCAAATTCATCAAACCTAAATTAGTCCTTACCTTCAAGGTGCAATTACATAACGAGGTTAGCGTGTCTAGGGTTTCACTTTTTCTTTTATAACTCTTATCTTAAATAAAAAATACTTCCTTTTACACCAAATAAATTTCAAGTCAACACATTTCAATGATAGTTTAGACATTGAATGTGATAACTCTTGCTCATTGGGGTAAAAGTCTGCCATCCACGATGGTTGAGCAAGGTTAAGAGCCTCGATGTGATGTGGGAGAGTGCTTGAATTCGTTAGTCCAAATTCATCAAACCTAAATTACCCCTCGCCTCCAAGGAGCAATTAAATAACGAGGCTAGCGTTTCTAGTGTTTCACTCTCTTTTAAATCTCTTATGTTAAATTAACAATACTTCCTTTTACACCTAATAAATTTGAAGTCAACACATTTCAATGATAGTTCAGACATTGAATGTGATAACTCTTGCTCTGAAACCTATAATCATAATTATAAACATTTTGAAAATAAAATAAACTACTTATTATTTAAATGGTGATCAGACATTCACATAATCAATATAAATATGATAACAATCAATCAACAAAAATCATACTTCAAAGAAATAATTTCTGAATTAAAAACATAAATCAACTTTATGAGTTTAGCCTAATATGGCTAAAGATGTAAATAAAATAAAATTTTTGATTATTTGTCACCCAAAAAAAATATTTGCAATTGAAAATCTTCAATCGAGTTTTCAATTAATTTCAAATTCTCTTTTGCTTTGGATCTTCAATTTTGAGCTTGAAAATTTTGAACTTTAATGTTTTATTCCTCGAAACTTTTCATAGCATTTTTCTCAACACTATGATATATAGAACACTGAATTTTATTCCCCAAAGTTGGTTCAAATCTTGGAAAATGGCTTTCCAAAAGATGGTCAAAAATTGAAAAAGGAAAAAACATATTTTGTCGAATTTATACCACGCAATAACATGGTATAAGGAGCTGCTATCATAAAGCACAACAAAGATAGGATATGCTTCTATTTAAATAGGCTTTCCGACTGCAAAGAGGATTATACCTTACGATCGCAAGGTATAACATCTATCTATTATTTAAATTTTGATACTCGTTTTCAATTTTCCATTTAGCTCAAGACTTCCTAATTGCAATTAAAGTCTCTCTTCTTGTATTATCTTGGTCCCTACATGTCCTTTTTGCATGGTTTTCATTTTTTTTTTCAAAAGTCCATCCAACTTTGAGTTTTACTTAAACAAATAATATTTACAGAAGACTAAACAACAATTTCCTAAAAATACTTTCAAATATTCACTTTTGACGGTTTAAATAAGTACATAGTTTATCGGTTTTGTTTGAGCCCTATCTGTTGCAATTTTTTTACCCGTGTCGTGATTTCTACCTTTCAATGAATTATGTTTTTCTTTATTCCTTCTCATTTTCTTTTCCTCTTCAATTAAAAGTAGCGATATGTTTGTCATTTTTTTTTTTAATTTGAGTTTTTCATTCAATATATTATTGTTGGTTGAGGACTTAACTACTATATTTCCGATAGATTCAGGACCTAAAATATAATTTTCCTTGTTTTAATATTATGAGGGTTTTGTTTTATGGAAAAGTGAATTGATGGATAATGTTTGGATGAAAAATATGGAAAAGTTTTTAGTATACTTGTAATATTATTTATGATGAAGATTGCGTTTTTAAAAAGGATAGAGAGAGATAAATTTTTTTACAAATAAGAATCAAAGGGCCTGTAATTACTGTATCCTATCAATATCCTCCCTTGTTCTCGTCGACATCCCGATAATATTTTTTCCTTTGTTGTTGGTGGAAAATGGAAATGGAGAAGAGAAATGAAGCAGATATAGAGGTTATACACTCATGGTCGGCGCCCAGGTCCCTCAGCACCAGCCTCATGTACTCTTTTGCTCAGGTAATCCCCCGTTCACTCTGAATCTTTGCAACCAATTTCTCATTTTATTCTGAATTAATTTTTATGCAAGTTGAATTCGAAGTATTGCTGCTCGAATTTGTTCTAATTCTGTCAAATTTTCTTCTTCTGCTGTCTGTCATAGTTCACTTTTTATTTCATTTTTACTGTTGGAGCAGAGATTTCTAATGCATCAATTGTGAAATTTAAAATACTATTGCTTAAGTTTCGAAAATTTTGTCTTGTCTAACTTTTTCTTTGTTACATTTATGTTTCCTATGCAAATTAAGTTTGAAGATGACTTTCAAAATTAAGTGGAGTTATTGTCAATTTTAGCAAATTTGATGTGAATTGAATTATTTCCAGAAGCGTTGGATTGCATTCGTGTTATATATTATTGACCTTCGTAATGGAATTATGGGGCAGCTTTGTTTTTCAGTGGGTTTACAGTGAGAACTGTTGTTAGAATTGTGATATTTTGAGGCTGATCATATCAGATGCATATTGTGGTTTTCTACCATTTTGTTCCGTTCTAAAACAAAATAAAAGAAGAGTTAGATTACATTTTTTTCCCAATTCAATGACTTCTTGTGCATCTGAAGTATGTGAAACTGTAAATCAAAATATGAGGGCATTATTTATCAAGTAATCCAGAAAGTAAGATGTGATGAATGCTCAGAAGTTCTCAGTGGCATCAGTTGATCTTCATCTGTGTTTGCAATGAACAAAGACCTGGCCTTTATCATCAAAACCTTACTTTTGTTGATATAACTAATAAGAGGTGGGTGTAGTTTTAGCTTGCACTATGCTGCCAATTAGTCTACCGTTCTTAGCTATTCTGTCTGAGAAGTCGATATTCTTATCTTATATATCTTTTTAAAGCAAATCATATTAGTTCCCATTCTCGATTGAGTCTAATCACTATAGAGGTGATTAGTCTACTAATGCCAAAATCAGCATCAGTAGCAGGTCTGCCTAATTGACAGCATTAGGAACACATTTTATGTTGCTGTTGCTTGATGATGCTCCATGTTTCTTGATAATGCAAAACTTCCCTTCATGATTTTCCCAGAGAGATGACATGGAAGTGCTTGACGAACCCCTTTATGCAAATTTTCTTAGGGTAACAGGGGTGGAGAGGCCCTATCGAGAAGAGCTTTTGTCAAAGATGGTATGTAAGATTACATTGCTGCAAATTAGTTAAATCTCTCTACTCATTGGAGCCATTTGCATTTTGACCATTCCCACTCAAGTACGGTTTTGTAATCAGTAGTCATATATCCTGAGTGCATGTTTGATTTGCCAGGACCTTGACACTATAATGAAAATAAATTTAGCTTCTTTTTCCTTGTTAATACTACCCATTAAAGTTTAATCCTCTCTACTAGTGTCTTATGCTGTGTCAGATAATCTATGAAGTATTGGTGCCCTGTCTTGTTTATTTTGAACTACTAGGTATATTTCATTGTTTCCTATGGTGTTACTTTCTTCTATTGGAATAACTTAATATTGACCAGATACAACTATGCCTCATCCTAAATTGTTTGTGAAATGAGGAAGATCTAAGTTATGTATTGAAGGTGTTTTTCTTTATTTTATTTTTTCTGGAGTGGGGTCGAACCACCTTTTACATTTTATGACATTCTTTGTTAAAGCAAAGTGGAGGCAAATTAGTGCAGATCTTGCATTTGCATTTGAACATTTAGATATAAATGCTTGTTCTTTTAATATTTGTATTTCTGGATAAGTTCCATTCGTTAATATATTGGATACATACCGGGAAAAATGCTTCTTGTTAATTGTCTAAAATTCACAGGACTCTGATGGAAATAAGGTTGTGAAAGAGATTATTTTTGGCCCTGGCCAGAAAAAATATCGGTACTGCAAGGTAAACTGTTTTTATTCTATTTGTTCTGTTTGAGATTTGGTGTTCAATAAGCATCAATATGTAGACGATTGTTCAAATTAAAGACGTTTCTCCATTTGATACTACGATACTATTACTTCTGCTGTGCTTATTCATTTTTTTTTCCTCATTTATATCTGCAGCACATTGCTAAACAACGTTTACCTGGATTGACAGATGAGTTACTGAAAAAAGGAAAGCACTTCATACTAATACGAAATCCCCTTAATATTCTGGTAAATGTCATATTATAGACTGTATCTTCTTAGATATTTTTGTAATATGTAAGATTTAGGCTCCGATATATTCAGTTTATGTGCATTCATATTAAATGCAACCTTTTCTTTTCATGCTATAATACCAAATTTTTAATTGGCTTCTTTTTCAAGCTAAAAGTCTAGGCCTAGTTTAATCCTTGACCAGTTAACAAACTTGTCAAAAGAAATGAGTTCATTTAGTAAATGTCATGAGATGCTTATGGATTTGCTATAATCTTTGTTTCATGCATGTAAAACCGCTTGTACTTTAACTGTCCCTCAATTTATCAATCTATGTTTCCATGTATTGTCAGCCATCATTTGAGAAGGTTGTGGCCCCATCCTTTCTTGAGCTTGGGTTGGCTAGCTTGGTCTCCGTTTACAGTGAGCTGTGTGAACTAGGAAAGCCCCCTCACATTATTGATGCAACAGCGCTTCAAGAAAATCCCGAGGTTTGGAGTGTTCTCTTTATTAACTTAATTCTGCAGGAAGCTTTTCCCTCCCCCTCTCTTTATGTATTTATTTATTTTTTAAAAATTGTGATGTACCATTATATATTGATGTGATTCTGGAAAATGCAAGTGACTTAAAAATCTTTCCTGAGCCATAAAATATGTGCTACTTTGGGGAGGTAGGGGCTAGCTAAATTGACAATGTCACAAGAATCTTGATAATCAGTTTCTATAATATCTTTTCATTTTAAAATTGGCGTTAGTTTTTCATTTGTTCATGGTCTCGATACTCATGGTCACGAAGAACGCAATCAAACAAGAAATAGAGTTGTAGCAGAAAGAGAGAAGAGAAGAGAATAAAAGAAGAGGAGAAGAGAAGATGGAGAAAGAGAGAAGAAGAGTGAGAATAGAGATAGAGAGAGAGAAAAGAGAAACAATTTAGAGAGAGGAAATTATAGTTTATTTGATTATCAAAGTATAAGTACTCCGATGCATTGAACTCTTTATAGGTGTAACGACCCGGGTCTCTGCACCCAAGTCGTTAGCTTACGTACTGTTCGCTTTGAGTGAGCCTTGCGCCTACTTACCCCTCACGACTTTCTGTCGCATTCCCTAGGATTTGAACTCATAACCTTTTCCTTAAGTAAGATTTAAGTTGAATCCTTGTACTAACTCGGGTCTTTGTACCCAATCCGTTAGCTTACGTACTATTCGCTTTAGGTGGGCCTTGTGCCCACTTACCCTTCATGGCTTTCTGTCGCGTTCCCTAGGATTCGAACTCATAACCTTTCCCTTAAGTAAGACTTAAGTTAAATCATGGTACCAATAAGGCAATTAGGCACAAGACCCACTCAAAGTGGACAGTACGTAAGCTAACGGTTTGGATACAGAGACCCGGGTCGTTACAATAGGGTTTCAAGTAGTCTAATTTAAGCAGGAAAACAACTAAAGACGTAACATAAGATTCTAGAAAATCTGTAAAACTAAGCTTTAATTAATTTTCCTAAAATAAGAATCTAAACTTGTAAAGTTTTCATATAATAAATATCTATTATGATCCCTATTATCTCATCGGATGAGAGAATTTGATTCCGACGAGATAGATCACAACAATATATTCAAGGAGGACATTTAGCTCTCACCCATAGTCCATTACTTGGAGATTTCATTTGAATCAAATATTGATGCTAAGCTCCTGCTAGTAACAAATATGCAACTCATCTACAAAAGCTGTAAGTGAATCCACTAATGAGAAGTATAATATACTAGCATGGTAGACTACATTACGAAAACAAATGATTGCAACGCTAACTGCTCAAATTGCCTTGATAAGCATATGATTCTGTTATTTTGGAAGCAAACGTTCATTCAAGTGCACTTGCCAATTGATAGATTAGTTTAAAGTGGTTGTGTAACGCCCTCAAAATCTATTTCATTTTTATTTTATAAAAATAGACTTGAAGTGTTACGAAAATCTTCTTTTATCTAATTTAAACGGAAATTCACTTTTCCTTTTTTTATTTGAGATTTGATTGGTAATTCGATAATAATAAACTAACAATTTAAGCGAAAATTTTCATATTAAATAAAAGTCTTGAAATTACAAATTTCAAATTATCAGTTTAAATCTAACATAGAATGTCAAATGTTGTACACACAGAGTTCAGTTTAAATTTAACAAAGAACGTTAATTTCCACTAGTTTGCATACTAATGTTCCTGTTTCCTTTAGTATCAAGGGTATACTTTTGTTGAGATAGAAAAGTACTTTTTGAATAGGTCTTCTATTCTTGGAAAGAATTTCAATCTTCCTAGGTCTTTGATCTCAAATTTTGTTGTCAAGTGGTAACATAGCTTGTCAATTTACTCATAATGATGTTATCTACTAAATAATTAAAGCACATAGTTTACCTAGAGATTTGTGCTTTATGAAGAGTGTATAATCACATTGGCCTTGCTTATACCTTAAGTATACCATGGCCTTTTGTGCGGAGAAATCTAGTAAATTGGATAAGCAAGAAACAAAATATGGTAGCCAAAAGCAGTGTTGACGCTAAGTTCAGAGTTGTGGCATAAGGAATATGTGAAGGATTGTGATTAAGAAAGCTCCTGGAAGAACTACATATCACAAGAAAGTTGCTAATCAAATTCTATTGTGATAACAAAGTAGCTATCAACATTTCCCTTAATCCCAATCAACACGATCGAACTAAGCATGTAGAGGTGAACAAACACTTAATTGAAGAAAAGGTGATGAAGGAACTGTTTGTATGACCTATATCCACATGCAAGCACAAACTGCAGATATCTTGACCAAAGGACTAACAAAATAGAATTTGATGATTTCATCTCCAAGTTGGATATGATAAACATTTATGATCCAACTCGAGGGAAGTGTTGGAAATCTCGAATTGATTGGGAAGATGATTAAGGAGATTGGTGAAGATTTTATTTACCGTAGATAGAATATTGTAATTTGATTAGAGTTTATAGGAGATTTATTTCCTTTCTTTTATGTCTTTCCTCTACTATAAATAGGATCTATAAATTGCACATCAAAAGCGTGAAAATATAGTGAAATATTTTTCTGGTTTCACCTTCAGAAGGTAATAGCTTCTTTACATGCTTCTACCTCTGAGGAATTTAAAGATTTTTCCATTTTTGTGAGTTCTTGGTTTTTAGATGCATTATACTGTTAGTTTTCTTTTTTACATTTTAGTGACAGAGGCCATGTCCTTTGCCTTACTGTTATTTTTCAATAAATTCATGATTCTTATTGAATAAGGGGGAAAAAAATGTGTGCAGCACGTGTTTGTCGATCTTAGATGTACATAACCTTTGATAACGAACTATAGGAACTGACTTCAAACAGCTAATGAAAGAACACACATACCAGAAGTAAGAAAAAAATTTGAAAACAATATGGGAGTCATGAATTTCATAACCATTTTATATTGCAGAGTGTGATCCTAGTGCTTCCTTTCTGAACTCTATTTAATTTGATTGTGCGGTGGCACATCTTATGATTGGTAGCCTAGCCTGTGGGTTTCTTACTGATCCCTAAGGCAGTCCTCTCCTTTCTATTAGTACAATGCATATGTCTAATATAATAATTACTGGGATACCTATGTCTATTTGAACAGCTTTTTACTTCTCCTCATCCTGATATACATATGCACCATCCATAATTATTTGTTTTTCTTTTATATTTATAGAGATAGCATTGTCTTGAATGAAATAGGTAATTTGTTTTTCCACCATACATAATATTTAGCTCTTCATGATAGTCTTATTTTCCACTGTTATTTTGATTGTGTGTGTTGAATATTTATACTTTTGGGTAGAAAGTCAACACTTATATTGCCTGTGCATTGAAGAACAATTTGATTTCTTATGAAACACGTATATGAACCCCGGAAGTAGACATGGACTCAAACACGTCTTCATTTAACTATTGAAAAAGTAGGTTACAGACATGTTAGGGACATATCACAAAAATTTTTAAATTTATAGATTAATATATTATATTATTTTTTACTCTAATTTTTCAGTAAATATAATATTATTTTTCTTTGATTCTTTTGATTTTTTTTGGGGGTGGTTGGGGGGCATATTGTATTAAATTTCTTTGAAACTGTTGGACTATTTTTTACTGGTGCCAACAGTAAATTACATAATAAATTAAAACATGCCTTCAGTTCAAAAAAGTAGGTTACAGACATGTTAGTGACATTTCACAAAAATTCTTAAATTATTTGATTCCCATTTATGAGATAAAATACATTATGGAATATTAGTTTTTTGGAGAATGAATGGTTAAAAAGAGAGAGAAAGTTTTTGAAAAATACGTGTATAATTTTTTTATAGAAGAATGTGTGGTTGAAAATGAGTTTTGAAAAAATGCATTCTTAAAAAAATGGGGCCCAAACAAGGGCTTAATTTTTTAGTAAATTCAATATTATTTGTATTTGATTATGAATTTTGCAAGAGAGATCTTTTGAAATAGAGGATTAAGAAATAGAGGATTAAGACAAATTCGAGATGAAGTTCATAGAAGTTTTTACATTATGTCGATTTCATTACACAAATGTGGCAATAGTAATTACAAAATGGGATTTCTCGAGTCCTTCATGTGTAGCGGACATGCATCTTGCATGTCAGAAATTATTAACAGAAAAATACAGGACGCCATTGAAAGGTTAAAAAATATATAAAGAAAATGGACGTGTCCTAGAGTGTTTTAGGAGGTTGCTTGTTCAATATTTGTCCAGCCAGGGGGAGTTTCCTTGCTTAACAGGTGATATTCGATCATTTTGTTCACCTCAATGGTTGGTTCTCGAAAAAAATTTCTTTTAGATCACATATTTAGGATTTGAGGCTGCACATATCTATTTTATGCAGAAGCATACTTTATATGTTTACTCAAGATTGTTTGGTGGAATACTTTGATTTGGTCGTACTTCCTTATGTATGTGAAGCATATACATAATCACCAGTTTCTAGTTCCCAAAAGATTTTAGATTGAAATTTTACTCGCATCTATCTGCAGGCTGCCTTACGTGGTCTATGTGAAGATCTCAATATTCCATTTCAAGCTTCTATGCTGAAGTAAGAACAAACTATTCCAGAATGTAAAAACCTCTGGGCGTGCGTAAGATCTTCCTGATTTTTTGATTGTCATCTTAAGTGAATTGCACTGATATCCTAATTTTTCAATTAGTCACTTGTCGTGTAAGAATCTTTCTATTGGACAATCTATAAGAATCTGATTTTCTCATGATAACGTGTTTGAACAAGTGGTGGTTGAGTTAGTGGAAGAGTGTGAGGTGAGAGACAATTTGTCTCACGTTCAAAACTCAAGATATTCATGTCTAGTCAAATATTGAGTATTGATGTTATCATGATACCTTTCTAAGCAAATCTCATTTTATTAACTGGTTATTATGAAGAATCGAGTACATAGTCGCACATAAAAAGAAAAAGATGAACTTGTTGACATTGTCATATTGTGTCACCATTGTTTTCTTTAGCATATTTCGCTGTAGAGTCTGACGATGAGTATCTTGATTATACCCTTGCAAGTTGTGGTCTTGGTATTACTTCTCCTATTTCTCCTAAATGCCAGAGTTTCTGAACTGCTCAATCATATTATGCCATTCTTATACATAAACAGAATATTTACCTGCTCAGTTAGATTTGGATATTAAATTGTTTTGTAACGTGGAAGACTTATTAGCTGCCGGCTCTCCAAATGTGACTGCTATTTGTCTCAAACTATACAAGTGGAAGTGTTATGATTGCTTTCGCCAAATTTATCCATGAATGCTGAACGATCTGTGTGTGTTGACTCATCAATAATGATATTTTCACCGTTTCCTTACGTTGGTTGCAATTCTAGAGTTCCTGTCTTTTTTTACATGCCTTGAGGTGACCATCTTCTTGTATCACTTTTATCATTGCTTTTTAGAAGAATGTTTCAATGAGTCATGGAGGATAATGGGGAATGATAAGGAATTAGAGTCAGGCCAGTAATTTTTTATTTTCCCTCAAATTTGCAGCCCCAGTCTGTGCATGAATTTGATCTTTCTATTTTCAGATGGGAAGCTGGGCCAAAATCAGTTGATGGGATTTGGGCTCCCTGGTGGTATAAAAGGGTACATAACTCAACAGGTTTTGCACCACCAAGAAAGTATCCTTCGGTATGTAAAAGCAAAATTAGCATATCCTGCATTTTTCCTATTTTGGTTTTGGTATTGTAATTTATAGTCAAATTTAATCACCATTTTTTTTACAGACTGATGAACATGCTGATTCCACTCATTCTAATTTAGATTTTGAACTGAGTCACTGAGACAAATTTTACTAGCGAGTATATCACGTGAATTGTTATTACAGTTATCTGAGTAATGTCTATTGAAGAAAAAATCCAGTATATGGGTCTTTATTCATGTGAAAAATAGCTGTAGTTTATTGATTCATTATTGTATAGTTGACCTCAATAGCATAATTAGAGAAGAAGTGTTAGGGAATAATTAGAGGAATGATGTTAGGGCATAATTAGAGGAGACATGTTAGGACATAATTAGAGGAGATATTTCGGAAGTTGTCGGATTTTCTTTCCTATATAGTTTTGTTATAACCTTTAGAATTTTTCTGTGGAATGTATGAAATTCTATGCCATCAAAGGAAGTCTCATGCTAATTTGTTTTGCGGCTTAAATTACTGAAATTTTGGTCTTCTTACAAGCTGGTTTGTGCTTGAAATTTGTTCTTAATTGCTGAAAAGAAGTTTCGGGATTATACATTCTTGTTTTTAAGAGTATTTTAGCCTATTTTCAAGCCAATTCGGCACATCACAGAGCAGCTAAGCCTTTTTTTCTGGCTAGTTCAGCACTTTTCAATCTGATTCTGACTATTCTCAGCCCGGTTGAAATATTTTTTAGGATGGTTCAAGGTTTCTAATCAGGTTCAATTGTTTTTAGCAGATTTATACCAGTTGAAAATGGTTTAAAAAGGAGGTCTTAAGGTGTGCCTCAAGCTGATGCGTAGCACCTGTGCTACAAGGCGCTCTGTGACCAAGTCCGTGTTAGTTGTAATCGATTGTGACCATGTCCTTGTTAATTGTGATTGGTTATGACTGTATGTGTTGTGGTGTTGGTCTACTGTGTGTGTGAATTTATTTGTGGTGACCATCTTTGATCAAGTGTGTGCTGATTGTGATCGAGTCTGTGTTAATTATAATTTATTGTGACTGTATGTGATCAAACAACAGCTAAGATTAACTTGGTCATAGATAGTCATAATGAAGACAAACTTGGTCACAACCACCACCACGCAGTGCCTAAGATGTTGCCACCACCACCACTATGTAGATCAATTCCAATGCACTATTATCATCTGCAATGCACCACCACCACGCATATGTGTTTGGTAAACATAGTTGCCACCTCACCACCACCACCAACACCATCATTCGCAGTAGTCCGGCACCACCACGCAGGTCAAGTCCAACGCTCCAACATCACCTGCAATGCACCTCCATCACCAATGCACCACCACGTTTAGGGGTGGACGCGGGTCGGTTCTTAAGAGAACCGAATCGAACCAAAATTTTCGGGTATCTAGTAAATGGAATCGTTGGGTCTAAATATAATTATGGAACCGTTCGGGTTCGGTTCAGTTCGGTCCTGTATTATAATTAAATTTTTTAACATTTATAACAACATTATATAAATACAACTAATGATACATTCAATGGTTTTGGAATGTTAGAGACTAGTAAACTGCTTTGTTCAAATGATTGCTACGATCAAAGTTTCGGTCGGCGGAGGTCACAGTGTCGGCCGACGATTGTATAAGTTTTGGAATATTAGTGAGGTTGCGAGAGTGAGTGCGAGAGTAGAGACAACGTTATGCACTTTAGTGTAGGTGTTTAGGGTTATTTAATGGATTTGATTTTGTTTGGCTAAGAAATGAAACAATAAAATGGGTAATTAGGCCAAAAATTAAAAAATTAGAAATGGATCAAATTATTGGGCCAAAAATTTGGATTTAGAAATCGTTAATTTGTTTAGAAAAAATTAAAATTAGAATAATCTGATTTACTCAATATAAAAAAAAAATTAGAAAAATTCGGTTCTTATTCGGTTCTTGGTCTAAAATCGAGAATCAAACCGTACCAGTCGATTCTCAATTTAGATACCCGTTCGGGTATTTAATTTGACAAGAACCGTCGGGTTCGATTTGGTTCGATTCAAGTTCGGTTCGGTCGGTTCAATTCGGGAGATTTGCCCAGCCCTAACCACGTGTTCACCAGGAATGTCAATATGGTTGGTCACTTTCATTTTGTGTTTCTAAATAAGAATTTGCATTTGTAGAGAGTTTGTATTTGAGGAGAGAGTGTGTGTTGTGGCAGAAAATATCTTTGCAATTGGAAGGTGATGTTGAGGGTGGGGTAGGGGGTTAGGAGAGTAAATAATGCAAGAATGAGGATATTATCTTATAATAATACATATTATTATGTATTAATATATTGAAAATAACCACCTGATTTGTGAAAAAGTATTTACAAGATTATTAGTTGCGAAATGTGATTCTTATAGTCTTGTAGTTGTGTATTTTATCCTAAAAAAAGTTGGGCCCACCTTTTCAAATAAAACACAAAAAATTGGGCTATTAATATTTATCTGAACATTAAAAAACATAATCTTTATACCACTAGCAAACCCCAATTGACAGCTTCTTGAAGAAGGAAGAAACTCCTTCTCCAAGTCTGGCAGCTTCTTGCAGGTATATATATACATATGTGTGTGTGTGTGTGTGTTTCTCTTCTTTATTTTTTGCTTTTCGTCTCCTCTAAAAGTGTCATTTAATTTTTTAATAAGTTCTTGCTCAGGAATCAGGGAAATTTAATATTCGCTACTTTATTAACTTACTTTGATGTAATTCGATGGAGAATTCTTTAAGATTGATTGTTTATGGTGGTGTTATATTTATATATTTATTTTTATATTATTTATAATTTTTTCACTAATTTTTGTGCCTCAAAGCACCTTGAGGTGTATGCCTTAAAGCACAAAGAAATAATGCCTCAATACCTAATTCTGCTTTTTTAAACATTGTAGTTGAATGCTGGTTTCTTTTCTGATCATTTTACACCCGATTTAGACCATCTCTTGCCTCTTTCAAGCCTGTTTTATATAATTTCAATGCTGTTAAATTCTCACTAGTTGTCTTATTCAATCATATTCTAATCCAATCTGCTTCCTCTTTTATTAGTTTCAACATGTTAATATCTCATCCTGTTGCTTTTGGCTGACTCAACTTGCTTAAATGCAACTAGCTTTTCGAGTAATTCTTCAGCCCCAAATCGCAAGACTAGCCATTCAAATTTGTTTGTTTCCTATTCTTTGTTTTCTGAGAAAGAAAAAATCAATAGTTGCGGAAGGGTTGCTGCCATCTATTGCTGTATATGGGTCTATTCCTTTTTCAAAGTTTATTTCACTAGACTCTGCACTACTTGTTTTGAAATTGTCATGTAATCTTCTTTCAATTAGGAAAATCACTGAAATTTTAATCTTATCACCATGTTTTTTTTTTCTGTGAGTTTTAGAACTTGCACACAGGGAAGGTGATTGTCATTGGAAAGGAGATTGATGGGCTTTACTACTTAGAAAGTGATATCTAAATACATGCTTGAGTAATTCTTTTACATCTATTTCAAAACAAGAAATTGAGCTTTGGCATAAAACATTAAGTCATCCAAGCTTCTCATATTTGAAAACGTTGTTCTCTGCTTTTTCTGAAAATAAGGATGTCCATAATTTGCAATGTGGAAATGATGTGGATTATTCAAGAATTGAAGTTGATTTGCGTTATAAAAAGAAGATATCAATGAACTTCTACGAAATGTTTTCGCGGGATTCAGCCAGTTGTATTGATTATGAAATATTATTGAGAAATAGGAAAATATGTTATCATAGGATTTCCTGCGATTATTTCTAATATGGAATGAGTCAATTATCCAATTTGGGATTTCATTGAACAAAAAGGGTATTGTTGTTCCCATCGATCTAGAATTTCAATTTTTGAGAAGTATCATGATCATCCTTCAATTTTTTCAAATGAATATTTTGAAGACTTATTGATTCTAACTTGCAGAGTTGATCATTCAGACTATTCAATTCATAGATCTATCCAATTTGGGATTTCATTGAACAAAAAGGGTATTGTTGTTCCCATCGATCTAGAATTTCAATTTTTGAGAAGTATCATGATCATCCTTCAATTTTTTCAAATGAATATTTTGGAGACTTATTGATTCTAACTTGCAGAGTTGATCATTCAGACTATTCAATTCATAGATCTACGTGTTGGTAGTTGAGACGGAAAATAGACATCTTGAAGTAAATAGAGATTTAATGTTTATCATGTAGTTTCGTAAAATTGCTCTTACTACTACCTATTTTAACAACGTGATGCCGTCAAGGGTCTTGAAACTTAAAATATACTTGACACTCAAAGATAAAATCCATCATTGGATATATGCGTGCGTGTATGTATATATATATATATTTTTTTTTTTCTTTTTTTTTTTTCACCCAAAATTTTTGGGTGCATAACTTTTGTTCATGTACATAACCATAATTGAGGAGAATGAGATCATAATGACCTTTGGTGTATTTTCTTGGGATATTTTTCTACTACTAAAGGTTACAAATGTTATCATATTCAAACACAATGAAATATTGAATCCACGAGAATTAACTTTTCCGATGTTGCTTCTTTCTTCACTAAAACTTCTCTTTAGGAAGAGAATCCACAAGTTGAAGATTGCTTTTGGACTTCTCTTTCTTCTTCTCCTATGTTGAGTCTTCCCTATTAAGAGCCTATTTGATACCTATATTTTGTCTAGAATACATTTTGGAATAGTATGCCGAGGGAAAATGTGTGGTTACAAAATAAGGAAAAATTTTGAGTTTGTGTATAATATTATTTTATTTAAGAATGTGTGATTGGAAATAAGATAGAGAAAATTGTATTTTGAAAATAATGGGACCAAACAAGGGTTAAGTAATCTTGAGTTTTGTCATATACCCCAAATTTAACCTATTGTTTCTATACTGTGAGATTTTTGTATCTAATGATTTGCATATCGTACCAAATGATTTGATGTAGTATATCACAACTATAATAATAGTTTTCTACTACAATTATATTTTATCATTTTTAGGAGTTTATTTTCTATTTAGTTTTTTTGTATAGTTGTGATAGGACTTTTATATTTTTATTTGATTCGGATTATAGTTTCCATTAATTTCAATTTCCTAATACTATTAGAGCGGGGAATAATTTGCCTATAAATATACGTGTATTGTACACTTTTCATATCATCAATCATTATAAAGCAAGTTATTCCTACTTATTTCAATTCTTACTATAAGAATTTCATAATGCTTCCGCACCAAAATTGGTATCAGAGCAATGAAATTGCCTTAATTTGATGGCTAACGATGGTCCTGGTGGTAGTCGAGTCGTCGAGGACGAACGGAGGCTCGACAAACTCAAACAACGGGGATCGATGAAACCCTTCACAACATCATGAAAGGGATCGTGAGCTCATGGAGAAGCAAGTTGACAATAATTTGTAGACTTTAACTGCTATGAATGTTACTCGTTTCAACAAACATAGAACACAACAACATGTGGCTAGAGAATTTCCTCGAGTCCCAGCCAAGTTCGAAAATATACAAGTTATCAAGGATTCTTTTTTTCAATAAAACTCTAGGACGAGTTTTTTTCAAGTGAGAGAGAATGATGTAGAACAATGCCATATACTCTTGAGTATGCAAGATAAAGATTTAGAACTAAATGTTTATTCGAGAAGGAACAGGGCACATCAACCATCAATAGTAACTATGCACAAAAATTCCATAAAACACAAGTAATTCTTTAGTCTCTTGTACAAAGATTAATTTTGATCTTGACATCCCAATTGCTCATAATTTTGGTGTTGGATCTTGCACAATATTACCCAATTCCATATTTTTTCCTATAAAAAATTGTCTCATTCCTTTAGCCTTTACTTCTAATATATCTTCTTGTGATTCTATTCTGAATTTTTTTCAAGATGCCCTAGTTATTTAAAGCTGGAAAGAGGCTATTTATGATGATGTATTGACATTTAAAAAAGAATGATACACGTCACCTTGTTTTTCGCTGTGGAAGGAACCAATTGGATGTAATTAGGTGTTTACAATAAGCGTAAGGATGATGGAATGGCTAAAAGATACAAGGCAAGGCTTGTAGCAAAGGGGTTTACACTAAATTAAATTATCGATTATGAACTCCATCTTGTAATAACAAGTAATTTCAGTAACTAAAATAAGCATATTTTATCACAATACATGATCCTCATCAACCCTTGTGGTCTGTGAGGATTGTACATCACTGAACCCTACAACTGGTGAGGTTTCAATCCTCATCAACCTCCCCACAGTCGATGAGGATTCCATGATTTTTTATAACTCACTTGTACCACAATGTACAAATTTAAGTCACAATGCACAACAAATAGGTGTAATTTGTTGTATTAATTTACTGTATAGTTGATCTCTGTAGAATGAATAGAGGAGATATGTTAGGGCATAATTAGAGAGACATGTTAGGACATAATTAGAGGAGAAATTTAGGAAGTTGTCTAGTTTTTCCTATATATTTTTTGTTGTAACCTCTAAAATTTATGAATTTAAATATATGAAATTTATCAATTCAACATATGAATTGCCTGTGTTCCATTGTGTCCAAAAGTGGCTGCAACTGTGTGTCTATGCATGCAGACATGGGGTACTTCATTGTGTAATACTGTGAACTTCTAACTGGGTCTCTTGAAAAGCTTATAGTATAAATCAATCTATCTTTTTAATATCCTTTGAGCCTTCCCAATGCTGTTAGCAATTGACTACAATTCTTTATTTTTTTTAATATAATATTTATTTGGAGCTTATGCTGAAGGATTTTAAAATACTTTGCATGTTTTACATGTTAGTTGTACTATAAACTAGTTGTTTGGTTTTCTTCATAGTTTTTACCTTCTAACATATCTACTTACATGATAAGTAGTGATCATTATTACAAAGAAGTTCCAAACGTAACATGGGATGCAATGTGATATCTGACGTGGCTTACTTTGCCAAGCATAAAACTCCTGTGACCATCTTGCTAATTGTTTTCTTTTCATTAATTTTCAGCCATTCCCGTCATCTTTGTATGATTTGCTGGAGCAAAGTTTACCCTTTTACAACATGCTTAGGCATCATGAATTAAAAAGAAGTTACTTTATTAAATCTCCCCATCCCAAACTTCCAAATTCAGCCAATGAGAAGCTGCTTGTTTGGGTTGGCAATGATATTGTGCCCCGTGAAAGCGCGAAGGTACTTTTATCATAAAGAACTAGGAAGTTTGGATTAAGAGAAATCAATTAATAATCAGCTCTTAATTTGAAGTTTCTGAAAATTCCTTAACTCCATTTCTCCGTTGGATTCCTCAGGTATCAGTGTTTGATTCTGTTGTCCAAGGAGGTGATGCTGTTTGGGAGGGAATTCGAGTTTACAGTGGGAAGATATTTAAGCTTGAAGAGCATCTAGATAGGTTAGTGAAATGAACTAAAACAAAACCGATTGTATATTATTAGCTTCCATGCAACCAGTAGATGTTTGCCGTTCAAAATTGTGACTGTAATTGTGATGGTATGCACTTTTCCCTTCGTTCACTTTTATATTGTACTCAAATAATTGATAATCAGGGGCTGTAGAAGGATTGAATTGTATCCAAAGAACACGGGGATACAAATAAGTAATAAGAATCATGGTGGGAGCTTATTTTATCTGTTGTGATATCACATTATACCATAAGTTGATTGATAAGTATGGTCACTGAAATCCCTGAATTACCAATACTATGAGGTTGAACAAGTTGGTTCTGAGTGTTGCCACTGTTCTTTGCAGAATAATGACTTCAATGGTGTCTTTGGGAACTGTGATATTTTCAAATGCAGAAATAAGTTAAAAATAAATTTCAGCTGGAAAAATGAACTAAACCTGTAAAATAAACTCCTACAAGAGCTACAAAAACAAAAAGAAAATCTTCTATTATGTAACTGGAAATGATATTTGAATTTTGATCTAAGTTCCTCCTGCATCAAGTTCTGAGGGGATCTGCTGATTTAGTGCAAAAGGGTCTAGTCTGCTGAGGTATGATCTGTGGATTGTTTCTCCAGATTGGTGATTCATCTATGAAAATGTTCAAAACCAGATCAAGAAATGAGACAAGAAGAAGTTTTGGAGATCTAACTGATTTAGATGTTAAATTAGAAAATCTAGCGGCACATAGAAGAGGTCCTCATTCTCAGAGCAAGAGGGATTTGAGTGCTTGTGCTAGTTTTGCTGGAGATAAAAATATGGAGCTATGTGATCAATAGACAGAAATATGTATGTGCTCTGAGGGAATACCTATTGAGCTAAACAAAGAATGGATTGTTTTAGGCTGCATGGCAAGAATGGGGTCAAATTTAAATTAGGAGCTGATAGATCTAGATAGTTTGGGAGTAACTTATTTATGCGTTCACCGCGGTTCAATTTTACAATGGAAGGAGCTAATAGTTCTAGATAGGTCTTGGAGTATTAATTAGTCCACTGTAGGCTAATCCATGTTTCTGGATATGAGTTCAGCTGAGCAACGAGTAATAAATTCTCAAAAGAAAATATTCTCCCCAAAGTCTGTGATTGAAGCAAGATCAGTAACTCAAAAGATTGGAGCCTTTTTTCATTGGACATGGTAATTTGTAGTGTTTGTTTAACATTCTCTTAAGCAGACTGCCCATCCTCTTTTGGAGCCTTGGTAATGAAATCTTCACCCACTGAACAAGTTAAGCAAATTCTCGTAGTAGAGTTAATTGCAATAACAAAATTGTCATGATCTGAGTGGAGAAAATATATTGGAGGATGTATATGATAATTTCTGGTGGAAACTGTAGACAAGTAGCTAGCTATGCATGGTGCAGAAGATGCTGGGTGGTTAGAAAACCTACCATTTGGGTTAGCTCAGTTTATGGAATGGAAGGTAAATATGATTTGATATCTTTCTAAATGTGTCAACCGTCAGGCCAGGGTGAAGCTGCTTTAGTTTACTTGATATCTCCTGATGGCATAGTAATGACAAAGTGATTGTTCTATCATCACTCACGGAGGGTAATACAAGTGTTTCCTACTCTTTAAATAAGGTTCTAGGAAAAAGGAAGATGCTAGAACTGGACAGAATTCTTCATTGTACATGGCATATTGATCAGAATTCAAATATGTTTTATGTTTTTTAGTCCTTTTTTACTAGGGTTACTAAACTATTACCAACAAACTAATAAAGCCTAGTCTGGAGGAAAAATTCAACAATTCCTCTTGGATGGAACAAGGTTGATTCTAGTCTTATAAGTGAGGGCTGGACCATTAACATTGTAACATGAATTATGCACTAGCTAATAACCAAAATGTTATGCGTAAGCTTCATGTAGCCTAGTAATAGGAACCAAGTTTATGGATGGAACTAAAAAAATTACCCCTTTATATTGTGGATGTGGTTTGCAATCTCATAGGTAATGATGAGTACCAGGATAAATGAGTGTTGGATAAGTAAATGATGATGGTAGGATGCATGATGAACTTTGACCCATTCGGGCTCATTTTATCACTCTCAGTTTAGCTTCAATGGGCCCAGAACCAAGGTATAAGTAACACTTTCAGCTTCATTTTCACTCGAATGATAAAATAAAGTTATTTATTTATTTTTAAATTTAACGTTCTCCCTTATGAGAGTCAAACCCCGGTCACTGACCTAGCAAGGCTTTGTTCTTACTACTTGAGCTAGGCCTTGATCTCAAATAATAGAATAAAGTTGGTAACAATATGTTCTACTTTTCAGGTTGTTTGATTCAGCAAAAGCTCTAGCTTTCAGAAACATGCCATCTCGTGAAGAGGTGATTTCACGACAACCCTTAAGTATCTGATAAATTCTAGATTTATTAGTGCTCAACGTTTCGAATTTCAAACTTCTTGGTGCCTTTGGTTTTTTGACATAGTTTCAAATTTCAGCGTGTACAGTGACCAACTCCATATTCATTATTTTTGTAGGTCAAGGAAGCCATTTTCAAAACTCTCATAAGGAATGGAATGTTTGATAATGCACATATCAGGCTGACTCTGACGCGTGGGAAAAAGGTAACTATCTACGTTGCTTTTAGTTTTCCTTTCGGTTTGTGTGCAAACAAGGGAGGGGGAAACATGTTACTTGATGAGACAAAGATCGACATTCCTTCTGATGGAGGGAAATAACCGTCACTTGACGTTCTCTTGTTCTTGAAAAATAGCTTTTTGAAGACCAGTCCCATATGGCTAAACATGTCTCCCACATAACATCGCTACTTGCGAAAACAGTATAGTAGATGGTAGAGAGGCTTAAGGTTCTAACAGCAGAGAATGCTTCCTTGCAGGCGAAAATTGAGAATACAAAAGTTATCATGCAGGATGGATCTAGAAAAAATGAAATGGGTCCTGTTAACAGCTCTTTCCGCAACAGTACTAGTTTGTCGGTATCAAAAACCTGTAACAGTATGTCGGAGAGAGCGCAAGTGGCAGCACATGAGCAAGCCCACTAAGGAGAGATTTTTACTTCCATCAATAAAATATAACACATAGGAAACATGATCAATTTAAAAAGTGCCCCAAATCCGAAGTAACAACTTTTACATCAGATTAAAACTAAAATAACGCTGAAAATAGATATCTATAGTCATGTTACTCTGGACTATTTTTATTGAATTCGATAATTTCTAGCATTACGATTGCACCTCATCGCCCGCCAACTATCGACCCATTCTAATCCGTGAGGAGTAGCGAAAACGGATGAGTACATGAGAATACTCAGTAGGACACGAAAAAATCATGGTGCAATCCCTGAATAAAAATTTTAAAACATGTATCTGAAGATCATACCATTTCATATATTTAGGAACCGATGAGACTCATATAATATCATTTGTACTAGAATGACCATATCATTCATGTCATATTTTAGCTTTTATGAGTACAATAATTCATCAACATGAAAATATGATTAAACGGGATAGAATACACTGCACCTCAATATCCTATCTTAAACCTTTGAAAATCTTAATTCCAGGTTCAAAACCTTTTCTCAAACCAATGCGTTGAATAAGTGGATGTGCGAGTATGCTGGATAGTAATATTAAATGTATGTAACTGGCTTCTTGATTTCCCACAACCCCTCTCTCTCTGTCTCACATATGTATAAAATATTTTTTTTTGTATCATTAGTCTGCAAATTGATATCTATATATATCTACACCCTTATGACCTAATCTACTAGAGTTAGTTAGGATTTGGAAGTTGGAGCCGTACCAACAAGATATTGGATAAGAATTTGGGTAAATAAAGTCTCCTATTGAGAGTAGTGCATAAGATGTCAAATCAAAGGTAAGATTCTTGTACTTTGATTAAAATAAGATTTCTATTCAAAATGGAAGAAAAGTTTGTATTTATATATAATACACTACACGTGTGCCAATCCACTAATAAATTAATAAACAAACCTAAATAAATTTTTAGTTAACGATAACTTAAACAAACGGCCATAGCTTGAATCTTACCTATCCAAATTAACTTTTTCTCGAGTTCAAAATATATGATTAATTACGAGCTACCCAATGAGTACAATATTGATGTGTTTATCATTACTCTATCAATATTTAAATATTTGACCTAAATAAAATTGGATTTAATATATTTTATCATTTTAGTCCCCAACTTTTCAAATTTAAAATATAGTATATAAAATAAATAAATCTAGTATGTGAAAATTTTTGGGGCTTTACAGAGTGTGATCAACACTTCTTACAATACTCCACTATATGAAGAATCCAAGGATCGACCAGCAAGGTCATATAAGTCAAACGATTATTATGAGCACCTCCCTTTCTCAAGGAAAATCAAGGTGATACAAGTTCCAGACAAGTTTGTCCGACCAATTATGGACAAATACAATGATAAGGAGATCCTTATACGAGTACTTGGCTCAAATGCGATTGAGGAAAGCACAAGCTCTGTGCTCAAGTGCCAAGGTTTTCATCTAACTTTAGATGGACCTGCCAAACGGTGGTAAGGTAAACTTCGGCTAGGATCAATTCAAAGTTGGCAATAGTTGAAACAAGTATTCCTAGGAGTATTTGTAGGTTGTAGATTGGGGCAAGCTCTGTCAAAATGGTTTCAATTGCCCTTCATGGAGGGATTTCATTTCTAGTATAAAGGAGAAGAATAACCCAGTACATAGCTAATTTATAGGTAATTAAGAATCAATTTGTCTACCTAAATATGGTAACAACTAGTAGCGTGTAAATTAATTAGAAATACACAGATTTTGGCCAATAATCACCATATCTGTTTGATACCCCCCCTCAAATTGATGCTGGTGGATCAAGAAGCATCAATTTGCTAACCATGAATTGATGACGGTGGCGAGATAAGGCTTTGGTAAAAATATCAGCAGTCTGATGCTCGGTGGAAATGTGAAGAAGTGTAATCATCACATGTTGATCAAGAGCTTTACAAATAGAATGACAATCTACTTCAATATGCTTTGTGCGCTCATGAAAAACTGGATTTGTAGCAATCTGAATAGCACTAGTATTATCAGCATGAAGTTGAGTAGGAGTAGTTTGCGGGATACCAAGTTCACCTAACAATCCCCAAAGCCGTGTGATCTCGTAACACGCTGAAGACATAGCATGACATTCAGATTCGGTAGAGGATTTTGAGACTTGATCCTGTTTGTTACTTTTCCAAGAAATGAGGGCATGACAAAGGAACATGCACCAACCAGAAATTGAGCGGCGAGTAGTTACACATCCAACCCAATCAGCGTCACTATAACCTATTAACTGTAAGGAGCTCCTAGTCGGAAAAAATAGCCCTCTATCTAATGGATCTTTGAGGTAACGAAGAATTCGTCGCACAGCCGCTAAGTGAGATTGACGAGGAACTTGCATAAATTGATTGACGTGCTGTACAACGAAAGAGAGATTAGGGCGAGTAATCGTCAGATAGTTTAAACTTCCTACAAACTGTTGATATAGTAATGGGTCAGGTAAAAGTTCTCCATCTGGACCGAGCTTTACATTGACCTCCAAAGGTGTATGTACCGAATTCCCAGACTGAAGACCAGCTAAGGTGAGAATCTCTTGGGTGTTGCGTTGATGCAGAAGGAGACCATTTGGGCAAGAATGTACTTCAAGACCAAGAAAATACCGAAGAAAACCAAGATCTTTCATATGAAAGGTAGTGTTGAGATGTTGTTGCAGTTGCTCAATCAATTGAGTGTCTGACCCTGCGATAACCATATCATTCACATATACTAACAGAAATACAAGGCCAGCGTCAGTCCTCTTAAGAAATAGAGAAGAATCAAATTGACTTTAAGTAAAATGAAAATCAATCAGAGTGTTGCGAAACTTCTCAAGCCATGCATGCGGAGCTTGCTTCAATCCATATAAAGACCGCTTCAACCGGCACACTTCAGTGGAAGAATGAGAGAACATACCAGGAGGAGGACTCATATATATTTCCTCCGTCAAATCCCCATGTAAGAACACATTCTTCACATCCATTTGTTTAAGAGACCATCCTTTAGAAGCTGCTATTGCCATAATAGTTCTCACAATAGTCATCTTTGTTGCAAGCGCAAATGTCTCCTCATAATCAAGACTATATTCCTCATAATCAAGACTATATTCTTGAAAATTCCCAAGAGATACCAAACGGGCCTTATACCTCTCAATAGTACCATCAGGTCGAAGTTTGATGGTATACACCCATTTGCATCCAAGGAGCTTGATTCCATCAGGATGAGGAACAATGTCCCATGTATGATTATTCTGAAGAGCCTGAAGTTCTTCCTGCATAGCTTGTCGCCAACATGCATGCGTAGATTCCTGAGAATAAGATTTAGGCGGAGAAGTGGTATCAAGTGTAGCTTGATGAGCAATATGTGAGAACCCATACCTATCTGGAGGGCATGAAACCCGAGAAGATCATCTAGGTTCAATGATGACGGGATGAGACATCGGTGCAGTGTCAGAAGGGGACAGTGGAGACGGCGGCGGACATATCTAGTACACAAATCCAGGCTTAAAGCGTTCTACAGTAGAAGACATATCATCAAACTCAGGAAGTTGAATAAATGCAGAATCGGAAATAACATGAGATTGAAAGAAATATCGATTTTCAAAAAAGACCACATTACGAGAAATGCGAAGTTTGTTAGCATTCGGATCATAACATACAAATCCAATGTATTACTATACCCAAGAATTGCACATCGAGCAGCTTGAACAGTGAGCTTTTGATGCTTAGTAGAAGGTAAATGAACAAAACAAACACAGCCAAATATACGAAGGGAACTATACTCAGGTGCAACACCAAACAAACGAGAATACGGGGAATCAGATTGTAAACTTTGAGAGGGAAGACGATTAATCAAATAAATAGCTGTAGATAAAGCTTCCGCCCAAAATCTAGAGAACACAAAAGAGTCAATCGACAAAGTACGAACAACATCCAACAAATGACGATTTTTACGCTCAGTAACCCCATTCTGTTGGGGAGTGTATGGACAAGAATGTTGAGAAATGATCCCTTTCGTTTTGAGATATGCCTGAAATTCATTGGACATGTATTCCCCCCAGAGTCAGAGCCCAGTACCTTAATACTTACAGAAAATTGGTTCTCAACATAGGCACAAAAGTTCTTAAAGTTGGAGAACACCTACGATTTAGAGCGAAGGAAATATACCTAAGTAAATCGACTATAATCATCAATGAATGTTACGAAATACGTATATTGAGCACGAGAGAGTATAGGACTCACACCCCATACGTTAGTGTGAATAATCTCAAAATAAGTGGAAGCCCGAATACCATGTGAAGGAAAAGGTAAAGTTTTGCTTTTACCAAGTTTAAAAGTACTACAATAGGAAGACACATGAGTAAATGAATCTTTATTGCCCAAATAACCATGTTTTATAAGATAAAACATTAGAATTGGGATGCCCCAATTCTTATGCCAAACATTATTGTCAGTAGCAATTGCAGTACAAGCAAAGAAATCAGAAACGAAAAATTGAAGAGGAAATAAATGTCCCACTTAGGCCCATTCGCGATCACTTTCCCCTACTTGATTCTGCACACAACAATTAGAACGATTAAAACGAATTTCATAGTTATTGTCTACCAACTGTCCAACAGAAATTAAATTCGTAGATAATTCTAGTAACAAATATATTGGTGAAAGAACGTCCCAAATTTCCAACTGCAGTGATAGAAAGAGTATTCCCATTGGCTATTTGAATATGTTGGTCACCCTTATACTTATGAACATCAGAAAGACCTTCTATATTGCCAGTCATATGATTTGAGGCTACGGAATCAACCAACTAAGGAGAGGTAAGTAGATTTTTCTCACCTTAAAGACCGAGAGCAGTGAAAGCAGAAACAATCATTTGTTGGATCATCTCAGGTGTAAAAGTAGAGGAGGAACTAGTTGGAGATGTAGCAGTTGAATTAGGCTGGACAGTAGTGTAAAAAGCTCTTCCTTGTCTATTCTGAGGCCACAGTCGGCTGTCTTTGATGAAATGCCTTCCTTTTTGCAGTAACTACAAAATTTCTTGCTGCAATTTTTTGCAAAATGCCCAAGCTCCTTGCAGCTGTAGCACTGTATCCGTGACTTGGATTTTCCTTTCCCTTGAGCAACATATGCCACATTAACCATCTCGGTAGTTACTGTTTCTTGAGTTATGCCAAGTTGTGTTGCAAGACGCTGTTCCTCGCGTAATAATTCTCCAAAGTATACATCTATAGAAAGAACAGGGGTACGGTTTAGTAAACCAGCCCGCACAGTTTCAAATTTTGGTCTCAGCTTCATCAGAAATTGATCTCTTTTACTTTTGGCCTAGACGGCCCGTAGCGCTGCTAAAGCTTCCTTAGGAACTTTAGAATGAACTATCTTATAATAGTTACTGCTTAAATTAAGGAACCCAGCATAGAATTGGTCAATCGAAAGATTAGCCTATTTATAGTTCACAGTTTCTAAGTTAAATTGAAACTTCCTCACACTGTTGTCCTGATAGTGGAGACGCTTGAGATGATCTCACATTTCTTTAGCAGTAGTAAAGGATCGGAGATTGTTGATCGTATTGGGTTCAATAGAACTCAATAACCAGGAAGCGATCTTGGCATCCTTACTTTCCCATGAACTAAGTTCTTTTGAGTCCCTTGGAGCTGTAGAAGACTCATCTAAATGATCCCATAATTCTTTTCTTTACACAAACAATCGAAATAGAAATTCCTTACTCAAATAATTTTTCCATTGAAACGAATAATAGAGTTTTCTCTCGACATGATTGAGCAAAACAAAAAAATTTACCAAGTCAAATCTGATAAATTAGCAAGCCCAATCCAAACTTATGTGATTCCAGTCCAATACTAATTAAATCCTAATCCCAAAACCCAATATGAAATTGGCCCAACACAAATAATGGCCCAACAGAGTTTAAAAATTGAAAAAAAAGGAAAAATGTAAGATCCAAAATCCAAACCCATGATACTTGCTGAAGTAAATCCGTCTGCCAGGGTACTCCGATCAACAGAGACGAACTGGGTTTCTCAACCAACGCCAAAAGTAGATTTCCAACTAAAAATTGTGACTCTATAAAACGCCCAAGAGCAGTGGCCTCCGACAGAGAAGACCGCACGAAGAAAGCAACGAGTTCACACTCACTGCACCAAAAATTGACCAAAAGAGAGCCACAGAGGGCTCCGACAACCCAGAAGCCTCCGTTGACGACTGGCTGCATTTTGTTTTCCAGAATTTGCTGACAAAATCCCTAATGAGTATTCTGACAGCCCAAAATTAGGATATTTTCTCAATGGAGGCAAACCAAGAGAGTACTTGAAGAAGGAATCTAAGAGGGCTCTGATACCATGTCAAAATGGTTTCAATTGCCCTTCATGGAAGGATTTCATTTCCGATATAAAGGAGGAGAATAACCCAGTACGTGGCTAATTTACAGGTAATTAAGAATCAATTTGTCTACATAAATATGGTAACAACTAATAGCGTGTAAATTAATTAGAAATACACAGATTTTGGCCAATAATCACTATATCTGTTTGACAAGCTCTAGCCACTAGATTAAATGGTATGAGGTAGGAGGAGGGTGAATCCCTTAAGCTTTGCACGATTTATTACTGATTTGCTCGCTTGTGAAATTATATCTGATGAGAATGCTAAGGATGCCTTATGGAGCGGTTTGCTAATGGAGATTCCCTTCTAGCGGGATGTTCATAACAAAAACCCCAACTCTTACCACCAACTAGTGAGCTTGATACAAAACAAGATTCAGACGCATGATACCATAGAGAATCGAAGAAAGGTAAAGCAGCGGCAAGGCCTCAAAGGAAAGGCTTTAACACACGCATTAAAACTGTTGAAGCATTAGTACCCGTGCCTCACTGACTACGACGGAAAATCATATATCATACTGTAATGCATTGGTAGTAAGGCCTATATTAACTCGTAATGGCCTAAGCTACATGTTGTGGACAGCGGTAGCTCTGTAAAAAAATATTATTTTGAAGTGCCTTTAATCAAATGTAGGTGTATTACCTATGGATACCAATAGAAATAGGTGAGGAGCCAACTGTAGTCTATGGGTATATGGACTTCTTGATTATGGACAACAAGTCAGCATACAATGACATCCTTGAAAGGCCCGCCCTAAAAAATTTAAAGGCAATAACCTCAATCTATCACTTGTGCCAGAAATTCGAAACTCTTAAACAGATAGCCATTATCAAAGATAATCAGATAGAGACGCGTGAGTGTTACCTCAGTGCCTTAAGAAAGTAGCCTCAAAAGCTCTTGTAATCAATACTGCCTAGACAATCGAAGGAAACATGTTCAAAAAACCTCGTTTAGGAAAGCATCCGCTGTTGTGAAGGGTGGGTTGCATATCCTACCTGAAATAAGGTTGAACAGTTTTGCGAGCAGAAAGTTGAAGAAAGCCTCTCCTCGCTTACTGTAAAGTTCTAACTAATGGTGTAGTCAATTTTGCTAATAATTCTTTGATTTGGAATGGGTAAGCTAACGGAGTTCCCAAGTAGTTTCAGGAGATGTATCATCATCAGAGAAATAAGGTGTGGACTCATCGAAGGTGACATTTGCACATACAAAGTAGCATTGCAAAGAAGGATTGTAGAAAGATACCCCCTTCTATATTTGGTAGTAACCAAAGAAAATACATTTCATAGAGTGAGTCAAGTTTGTCATGACCAAGACTAAAGTGATGAGCATGACAAACATATCCAAAAACCTTGATGGGTAATGAGTATTATGGAGAGGAGGAAAACAAGAGGAAGAACGGAGATGCACCTTCCAAAATAGATGATGACATGCAATTAACGATATAGCATACAATAAGAACATCACTCCAAAAATGTTTAGGGACACGCATATGATAAAGAGGAGCACAGACAATTTCTAATAAATAATGATTTTTACGTTCGTCAACTCTTTTTTGTTGTGGAGTATATGCTCAAGATGTTTGATGAATAATGCCTTTGAAAGAGAGAGAGAGAGTGCAAAAGAAGCAGACATATCTTCATTATGAACAATTTTCATTAAGAACGATCGAATCATATGGGAATAATCACCCATAAAAGTGACAAAATATTTAAATTTATTAGAGGAAATATTGATTGGCCCCTATACGTCAGAATTAAGTATCTCAAATAAACTAGAAACACGACTAACGGTTTTTAAAAGAAAAAAACACAGGGTCATGTTTGCTAAGCTAACGAGCTTCACATTCAAGGGAGGACACATCACAAAGATTCTCAACTTGACGTTTTAAAGTGGAAAGCAAATGGCGATCAAGATGACAATGCCATTGCATGGTTGAAATAGAAGATAGGAGAGCTTAAGGAGGACAGGATGGTAAAATATCCATGTAATGCAAGCCACCATGTTCTGAAATAGGTTTGGTATAAACGTCGGAGAGAAGAAGATAATCGTATTCCTCTCATCTACTTCCATTGTATAGAAAAAATCAAGATTACACATATAGAAACTTAGGACAAGTATGGAAACACAATAAGCCCAATTGCACTATTGCCTAATCTATGTTATTCTTGATTGATTTATTTTCCTTAACATAGGTAATGCCATTTAAAAAATAAAAAAATAAAAAAATTGAATAATGTCATGGATAAGAAAATTTTATTACTCAAATAGCTTTAGCTTTGGGTGGTCCAAATTTGAATGGCTCTTCAATAATTCTTTTCTTTTTTCCTAAAAGCTGGAACTTACACATGAATCTAATGACTTGTGCAATTATCTGGTTTACCAGGTAACTTCTGGAATGAATCCATCACTCAACCTCTATGGATGTACCTTAATTGGTAAGATAGTCTTTATTTTAGTACTATAACGGCATGATCTTGATTTGATATCTGCGTCTCACCATATAATCATTTACACATAACTTTAGAAGCAAACTTACCTTGAGGAAAATTTATGCTGTCCGTCCCCTTCTTCCTTAATGGTCATGGATGGGATTCTTTTATCTAATGTTGGAAAATATTCCAGTTAAGTGAACATTTTGCCCAATGTAATGTTGAAATACATGTATGATTGCTCGTTTTCTGCCTTTGTCTGTCATTTTTCTTTATTGTCCCTCTTAAAAATTTCCTTTTCATGACAAAAATCTAAGTTGGTCTCAAGCTAATAAGAGACATTGCTAAATTGAACGATGTAATTTAGAATGCTAACAATCTTTCTTCAGTGGGAAAGAAGAACTACATTGGACATGGTATCTTTTTGTTAAAAAAATTGTGAAATATTCATTTTCCAAGTGATTAACTTCCAATATCTGGTGATGGGTGACAAGTATTTGGAATTAAATTCTATTATTAAGTGACGCCTGGTTTTATTTAAGAAACACTTGCAAATGTGAAGAAGGCTACTTGGAAGTGTATGTACAATATTGAAACTCAATTTTTTGTTTACATTGAAATTACGTAATCACTTTCCTAATTTTCCTTATTGCATATATTTCAAGATCCATCAGCGTTGTCAGGTGGTTCTCACCTCATTAAATGACAAAACATTATAGTTATGCATTTGTACCACTAGACTCAGAAAAATACACAGCAGACTTCAGCTTATTTCTACTATTTCTGCGAATCACGTTTCATTTACTGGTACTAAGTGAGAGCTTATATATATTTGACAGTATAAGAACAAAATAGATTTGACAACTTGACACTTTCAATTCTGAGATGACTTTTCAGTGCTTTCTCGAAACGCCTAAAATATGCATAGAAGATCCTAAATTTAACTTTCCTCATCATCAATTTGTATGAGCTCTAATTCCAAAAATAAGTATCTTCTCTCGAGTTGGCATATTTACCGATTAAACCTGACAATGACCCATTACTGATCACATAGAAGTGGTGGTTTGACAAAGAAGCATCTGATTGGTGGTTTGATCATGATTTCAACACAACATCCAACATTTGACAATCTTTTCCTTCTATTTTTCGACTTATCACAAGTTAGAATACTATCACAGGATGTTTCTCAAGCAAAAGATTCACTGTCAAGGTGCTGGCTTCTTCCACTGATTTCAATAATAGCAGTGGAGTTTTGAGAATAGTTTTTTTTCTCCTGCCAAAAAATAATATTTTGAAAATTCTCCAATACAATTTCATGCTTGATTCTTGTGCAAGAGTAGAACTATGATGCTCTTCTGCTCCATTCCTTTAACTTTTTGGCAAAAATTAAGCTTGTTTACTGTAAACTACATGCCATCTGTAGCATTAGTTTGATACAACTACCTTAAATAACTTGGATAGCTTAAAATGTTTTCCTTTTGTACATTGTAGTTCTTGCAGAATGGAAGCCACCAGTCTATGACAATGCAAGAGGTATAACTTTGGTGACAGCAACTACACGTCGTAATTCACCAAATGTAAGATCCTTATGTTCTATGTTATCTGAAATATATCTCTCTATTCTGACCTAAGGCTAGTAATCCAATTAATGTGGTCCATGTCTCTGACAAGAAACAAAGTGCTTGAAGTCTCCTGGCATCATTGTGATAGTTAAACTAGGCAATGGACTTGTTTGTATCATAAAATTAAAAAATAAACTTGTCAGTGATTTGAACTTGATGAAATAGTGAATACAGGGCATTGGAGTACCTTCTTATTTTCAGTATATAAGTATTAAAATAACAGAAACTTTAGAAGATCTAGAACTTAGCAAGGATCATGCATATAATTTATGTTTCATCTCTTGCTTTTGTTTGAATTGTAAATTTCTTTTGTTTTCCTTTACTTACTTTGGGTTTTTATATCGGGATTCCCACATTCTCTTAAATAATTGAAATTGACTCTAAGAGGTTATGTTCATTTTTGTTGACATCTGATTAATGTTCTCGGAGGCGTAAAGAGAAATTGCTCAAACCAAAGCAGGAAGTTGATAAAAGTTCTCATAATATTCTTATATAGGGAGTAGAAATAATAATGAAATGAACTTGGCTGGTATACTCAGACTTCTAGATATGAATAGACTCCAGTGGAACTAAAACTGTGCTTTTTCGTATTGACGCTGATAGAACTGCCAGCCCTGATGGCTTTTCATCTTTATTCTACCAGCATTATTGGAAGATTATTGAAGAGTAAAACTTCTTTTTTATTCTCAATGAATATTACAAAACCAATACGACCTATTTATATTACAAAGTATGGAATAAAAAAAGGAGACTCCAATTTGTTAAATAAGAAAATAAATCACCTAACTCATAATCCTATAACAATCCTATCAATCATAATATTCACAGTGTCTTTTCATAATTGGTTTTCTACACTCTCCCCCAAGTTGAACCATAGATGTTAATCAAGTTCAACTTGCAGCTGAAGGTATCAAAAACTTGTTTTGGTAGTCCTTTAGTGAAGATATCCGCAGTTTGCTCCTTTGTAGGGACATATGTCATACAGATAATTTCATCTTCCACTTTCTCTTTGATAAAATGTCTGTCCACTTCGACATGTTTAGCTCTATCATGTTGTACTGGATTGAGAGAAATGTTGATGGCTGCTTTGTTATCACAATAGAGTTTGATTGGAAGCTCCACCTTGACGTTTAGTTCTTCTAAGAGTTTCTTTATCCATAGTCCTTCATATATTCCTTGTGCGACAGTTCTAAATTCAGCTTCAGTACTACTTCTCGCCACTACTTTCTGTTTCTTACTCCAAGTCACCAAATTTCCCCAGACAAAAGTACAGTAGCTAGTAGTAGATCTGTCTTCCGTTGATCCAGCCCAATCTGCGTCTTTGAATATCTCTACTCCCCTTCTGTTATTTTTTTCAAAGAACAGTCCTTTCCCGGGATTACCTTTCAGACATCTCAATATTTTGTACACAGCCTCCAAGTCGGCTTCTTTAGGAGAGTGCATATGTTGACTTACCATGCTGACTGCGAAGGTGATGTCAGGTCTAGTGTGTGATAGGTAGATCAACTTCCCAACAAGTCTTTGGTATCTGTCTATTTCCATTGAGTTACCAAGGTCCTTTGTTATTTTTCCAGCCTCAATAGGTGTGTCACTTGGTTTGCATCCTAGCATCCCAATTTCAGTTAATAGATCGAGAATATATTTTCTTTGAGAAACACTAATACCCTTTTTTGATTGTGCAATCTCCATTCCTAAGAAGTATCGCATCTGTCCTAGGTCCTTTACTTCAAATTCGGTGGCTAAGCATTTCTTTAGTTTCTCCATTTTAGCTGTGTTGTCCCCAGTTAAGATGATATCATCAACATATACAATTAGAATTGTTTTTGCCCCATCTTTAGACTGTTTGAAGAACATGGTATGATCTAATTGCTCTTGCTGATAACCTTGATTTTTTAATACTTTCACAAATCAATCGAACCAAGCTCTTGGTGATTGTTTGAGACCATATAGGGATTTCTTGAGTCTACACACTTGTTTTTCTTCATTTCCTCTGTTGAACCCTGGTGGTATTGTCATGAACACTTCTTCTTCTAGCTCTCCATTCAGGAATGCATTCTTGATGTCCAGCTGTTGAAGTGGCCAATCTAAATTAACAGCTAATGACAACAGAACTCTGACTGTATTTAGTTTTGCTACTGGTGCAAATGTTTCTGTGTAGTCGATGCCATAAGTTTGAGTATATCCTTTAGCGACCAGACGAGCTTTGTAGCGCTCTATAGTCCCATCCGCTTTGTATTTCACATTAAACACCCATTTGCATCCCACAGTTTTCTTTCCTTTCGGTAAGTTTACCATTTCCCATGTTCCATTCTTCTTTAAAGCTCTCATTTCCTCCATTACCGCTTCTCTCCATTTGGGTGATTCCAGGGCCTCATGAATATTTTTTGGGATTTCTGTTTCATCTAGGTTAGCTGTAAAAACACGAAATCCTGTAGATAGAGTTTTATAAGACATGAATTTTGAAATAGGATGGAGAGTACATGACCGAGTTTGTTTCCTGAGAGCAATAGGTAAATCGTCTGGAGATTCATTGGAGGGGTTCTCATTAGGTCCTATCATCGGTTCCGACTCTCTTGGTGCCTCAGGTGTGAGATTTTCCTTGTACTTCAATTTAGGCTTCCTTGAGTAAACTAGTATCTCCTTGTCATTTTGTTTTCCAACATCTCCCCCTCAGTTCAAGTTGCCTTCTGTATATGGCACATTAGAAGATGTGGTATGTGTTGGTTCAGAAGGGAAAATGTCAAAGTTTAAGAATTCCCGATCTTCATTTTGATTCTCCCCCTGAAGAGAAGGATTTTGGAAGTAGGGTGTTCTTTGGAAGAAGGTGATATCTAGACTGACAAACACCCTTTTTGTGGATGGGTCATAGCATTTATAGCCCTTTTGAGTGGGTGAGTAGCCAATGAACACACATTTGATTGCACGTGGTTCAAATTTGTTTCGATGATGGGAGTGAATATGTACGAAGGCAGTACTCCCAAACACTCTTAGGGTTAGGTTTGAACTGAGGTGAGAAGTAGGATAGTACTTTTGAAATTTTTGTATAGGTGAGTTGAAAGAGAGTACGACTAGGCATTCGATTGATGAGATATGCGGATGTTAGAATGGCATCTCCCCAGAATGTTTTTGGCATGTTTGTAGTGAACATTAAAGTACGAGCAACTTCAAGTAGGTGTCTGTTTTTTCGTTTAGCAATCACATTTTGTTGGGGAGTGTTGACACATGAGCTTTGATAGACTATTTCGTGTTTTTTTAGGTAGTCTTGCAAAGTGGTATTGAAATATTCTGTACCATTGTCAGTGCGTAAAATTTGAAGTTGTGTTTGAAATTGAGTTTGAATCATAGAGTGGAAATTTATGAATACTGTGCGAACATCAGATTTTTCTTTTAGTAGATAGACCCTACATAATCGAGTGTGGTCATCGATGAATGTGACAAACCACTTTGTGTGTGTACGATTGGGATCACGAGAAGGTCCTCATAAGTCACTGTGAATTATGGTAAATGGCTTAGATGATTTGTATGTGGAATTTGGAAAATTTGTTCGTTGATGCTTTGCAAATTCACAACTTTCACATTGAAGTTCAAATGATGTTTTATTCAAGAAAAGAGAAGGAAGTACATGCTTCAAGTATTGTAGACTAGGATGACCCATTCTATAGTGCCATAACAGAATTTCACTATCCCTAGAAACAGACGTTGAATTACAACTTGAAAATTGACCTAGCTTACTCATATCAGCTTCTTAGAAGTAGTAAAGTCCTTCACACTCTTTAGCATTGCCAATCGTGTTCCTCGATGAAAGGTCCTGAAAGACACAATATGATGGGAAAAATTTAGCTGAGCAATTGGAATTTTTTGTAAGTTGACTAACAGATAATAAGTTACAGGACAAATTTGGGACATGAAGGACTGATTCTAGTGTTAAAGATTAAGAGATTTTAATACTCCCTTTTCCTGCAACCGATGAGAGTGAGTCATTTGCAATTTTTACTTCAATGTTTCCAGCACAGGTGGAGTATGAAGAAAATAAGTGATATGAGTCCGTCATATGATCGGACGCACCCAAATCGATAATCCAAGGGTTTTTGTGTCGTGAAGTATTTAAGGCTTTCAAAAAGTTACCTTTGTGAGCTAAAGAACTAGATGAACCTTTTGAGGAAGACTGATTGGATGTCTGGAGACTCGAAAAAATTTGGTAGAGTTGTTCCGATTGTTCTGAATTAAATGTCCCGCTTGGAGTGGGATTAATGTTTGTCTCGGCTTGGTATCCTCGGCCCCTTGTGTTTTGGTTTGGTTTCTAGTCCACTGGTTTCCCGTGAATATCCCAACAAGTGTCTTTTTTGTGCCCCGGTTTGCGACAATGTTCACACCATGGCCATCCTCGTTGCTGTTTTTGGTTGGGTCGCCCGGCTATCCCTTTAGATGACAAGCCTAATGCTCCTTGTCCATTCTTAATTGCTGGTCCAAAATTTGTTTCATTTTCTGGCCCACCTTTTATTTCATTTCCAAGCCCAAAGAATGCTGCCCAGTTCTATTTAATCCTCCTGTTGTCGGGCCCAGATTAGCCGGCCCATTATCTTTCAAATATGGTAGCCCAAAATGTGATTTTAAGGCCGATCTTTCATTATTGTGTCCAGAAATTTCAGAATTTTCCTTCATCATGACCTGCCGACGTGATTCTTCTCGCCGGACTTCTGCGAACACCTCGCGAGTGGAGGGTAGTGATCGCCGACCTAGAACCCTTCCTCTGACGTCGTCAAGTTCTCGATTCAGCCCTGCTAGGAACTCAAACACTCTTTCGTTCTCGACCTTTTTCTTGTACCTTGCACTGTCATTTGAACACTCCCATTCTTCCTCCAAGCTAAGGTCGAGTTCCTGCCATAGGGATACCATCTCCATGTAGTATTCAGTAACATCCCTCGACCCTTGCTTAGTTTGCCACAAACGGGTTTTAAGTTCGAAGATCTGTGATGCGTCTTCGGCATCGGAGTATGTTTCCTTCACGGCATCCCACACGTCTTTGGCCGTTGGAAGGAACAGGTAAGTCTTCCCTATAGAAGGCTTCATGGAATTTACGAGCTATGCTATCACCATTGAATTCTCGGATTTCCACTTCTGCAGACTCACAGTATCGGTTGGTCTTTTTGTATCACTGGTAAGATAGCCTAATCTCCCTTTCCCGTCGATGACCAATTTTATAGATTGAGCCCATTCTCGAAAATTTCTCCCGTTTAGTTTTTCTACTGTGAGTTGGAATGAGGAATTTTCGAGATTATTGGATCCAATGGAAGGGTTGGCCTCTGTTTCAAGACGAGAAGTTTCAGAGGTCATTGATTCTTGGCTGTTGATGGGAAATTCAGCCATTGGTGTGCTAGGTTAGGACGACCTAGGCTCTGATACCATGAAGAATAAAACTTCTTTTTTATTCTCAATGAATATTACAAAACCAATATGACCTATTTATATTACAAAGTATGGAATAAAAAAGGAAGACTCCAATTTGTTAAATAAGGAAATAAATCACCTAACTAATAATTCTATAACAATCCTATCAATCATAATATTCACAGTGTCTCTCCATAATTGGTTTTCTACAATTATCCTAGACAATGTATTTTGGGCCATTTTGGACTTCTTTGCTAGGGCCACCTGCAAAGGGATTTTACTACTACTACTTTTGTTTTCCTCATGAAAAGGAAAGGGGTCTACAAATGGGCTGATTGCAGATCAATTAGTTTATGCACGGTGTTTAACAAGTTTATCTCCAAGTTTTATACAATTGGCTGAGTACTATACTGCCTCGTATTATCTCTCAATAGAGTGGCTCATTTTTGGCCTCCTGATTGTAGACAATGTTTTATTGGCCAAGGAGCTTCTCCACACCTTGGGCATCAAAGTTAGAGGAGGTAATACTGTGTTGAAGTTTGATATGGCTAAAGTATATGATCACATGGATTGGAGTTTCCTTTATTCCATTCCTAATGGATTTGGATTTGATCAGCTTTGGATTTATAAGATCAGGAGATGCATATCTGATTTTTGATTCTCAATACTCCTAAATGGTCGTCCCTATGGTTCATTTTCCTTTTCTCCAGGCCTTCAATAGGGGGATCCAATCTTCTTCTATCTTCATCATTGCGGCTGACTACTTTTCTCATCTTCTCATGTAGCAATTTAGACTTACCCTGTTATTGACTATGGGCACGGTGGTCATACTCTAATCTCTCAGCTCTCTTTTGTTGATGACATGATTATATTCGCCAATAGACAATCTGGAGTCTTCTTGATTGCTTGGTCCATTACGAGGGCGAATTTGGTCAGTTGGTGAACTGAGAAAAGACTAGTCTTATTTTGCCTCGGAAGGCTTCCATTAAACGGATCAAGAGATTGGAACGCCTGATTGTCTTTAAACACAAGCAGTAGCCTTTTACGTATCTTGTGGTCCCGCTTTATAGGGGGCTAAATAAATTTTCTTATATGATGAATTCATTTAGAAGGTCAGGAACGGGATATTTGGATAGGTCCTTCGTTTAATATTTTTGGGCGATTGGATTACTCTTTTGAAATCTATTATTTACTTTGTACCTCTTAATCTTCTTTAGATCATATAGCCTCCTAAGGCAGTACTGAAGATTCCAGAAAGAATTTTTTTACGATTCTTGTGAGACTCTAAAGATCAGGTGCATCGTCTTCATTGGAGGAGATGGAAGGGATCTTTTCATCCCTACTGATGACGGCGGTCTCAATTTCAGGAGATTGTATAGTATTGTGGACACTTTTTACGTGAAGCTCTGCTGGCTCTTCCGTTCCCAGAGATCTCTGTAGGCTCATTTCTTACTAGGCAAATACTGCATGAGCACTTATCTCATGCTTGCTTCAACCCCATTTAATGTTTAACCTAGCCGGAGAAGGTTGAAGCTTGTAGGCTCTAAGGCTGAGAAATTTATAGATATATGTAAGGAAACCCTAACTGTACGAAAGGAAAATTAATCCTTAATTTTATGATATTTGTTTATACAAGTAAACCTGTTAGCTATAAGTAACTCTAAATCATACTTCTATACCCCCCTCAAGTTGACGTTTGCGTGTCTATGAGCATTAATTTGTGGATGAGAAAATTATGACGGAGGTGAGTTAGAGATTTGGTGAAGATATCTCTAGCTTGTTGACTAATGGAAACATGGGAAGAGTGATGACCTTGGAATTATAAGCGTCCTAGATATAATGACAGTCCACCTTGATGTGTTTGGTGTGTTCATGTTGCACATGATTACCCACAATTTGAAAGCATTAGTGTTGTCACCATGGAGAGAAGTGTAAGGTGTGATTGAGAAAAACCAAGTTATCCAAGAAGACCATGTAGCCACACAACCTCAAAACATGCTAGCGGACAGAACTCGGTATTCAGCTTCGGTGGAGGATTTAAAAACACAAAAAGCATCACCAAGAAAGATACACCACCTAATAGTGAATTGACGAGAATCAAGACACTCAATCCAAAGTCAGCATCACTATAAGCAGTTAGCTCAGGAGACATCTCTTGAGAAAAAGGATATATTACGATGAGTCCCAGTAATGTAGCGAATAATGCGATGGACAGCTACCAAGTGAAGATGACGAGGGACGTCCATAACTTTGCTGACAATGTGAACTGCAAAGGAAATATTCGGACGCTTACACGGAGATAGATGAGACTACCAACCAACTTTGGATATAGAATAGGGTCTGGAAGAATATTACCTTCGTCGATATTTAACATTAAGCTCCAATGGAGTATCAATTGATGAGGCTTCAGATAAATCAGCCAAACTAATCATGTCTTGGATATACTTGTGTTGATTTAAGAAGATATCATGCCGTACAATATGAACTTCTAAGTTAAGGAAATAAGTGAAATCACCAAGGTCTTTCATATCAAAAACCAAGTAAAGGTGGTGTTGTAGCTTTTGAATAATGGAGTGATCAGATCCAGAGATAATAATATCATTCACATATACTAATTGAAAAATGATGCTAGTAGTACACTTGTGAAAGAACACTGATGTGTCATACTAACTTTAACTAAAGGAGAAATTGAAAAGAGTGTGGCGGAACTTGCCAAACTGTGCTCGAGGAAAGAGGCATACCAGATGGAAGTTTACTATAAATATCTTCTTTAAGGTCACCATATTAAAAAGCATCATTTACTTCCATTTGATGTAAAGACCAAGATTGGGAAGCGACAAGCTATAACAAGAGGCGAACGATGGTCATTTTAGCTACGGGAGCAATTGTCACATCATAGTCGATTTCATACTCTTGATGATTTTTGAAGGCAACTAATCGAGCCTTATAGCGCTCAAGAGAACTATCAGAACGAAGTTTGAGTGAATATGCCCATTTACACAGTTGGAGGATATGGCACAATATCCTAAGTTTGGTTGGGTTCAAAAGCCTCAAGTTCTGCATTCATTGCCAGTTATCAACACTTATGTTCCATAGCTTGTCTATAGGAGGGAGGACTAGAAATTGAGTTAAGGGTAGCAGATATAGAGCTATGGAAAAAAAAATCATAATTATCTGGAGTGCGACGAAGGGTGATGGAAGGCGGAAGACCATTTGGTGAAGGATCTGATGTCGTTGGTGGAGGATTAGGGGGCTTGAGGAGACAGTCGACTAAGAAAGAAGCTCGGGAGAAGTGATCAGTGTAGCATGCCTGTGAATGTAAACTAGAACTGGTTTGTACCGAGAGAATTTTGTAAAGAAATCAAGACAGGGAACACGGGGAAAACAACAATTTCTGAAGTGAAAAAAGATAGTTTATCAAATAAAACTACATTATGAGAAATCTTAATGTGATGTGTTTTAGGATCGTATTAGACATAATCTTTTTGAGTCCCACCATATCCCAAAAACACCCACCGGATAGATTGAGGTGTTAGTTTTGTTCTTTCATGTGGTGGTAAATGAACAACAAACATAGCCAAAGGGACGGAGATAAGAATACTTAGGATGATGATCAAAGAGCTAATAAAATGGAGATACATTATCAAGAGCAGGAGAAGGCAATCGATTTATGATATGAACAACGGTGGACAATGCTTCACAAAAAAATGAGGATGAACAGACGACTCAATCAGAAAAGCTCTAACCATGTCCAAAAGGTGACAATTCTTGCGTTCTACCATTTTGTTGAATGGTAGATGGACAAGATTGCTGAAAAATAATGCCTTTGCACTATAAGAAATATTGAAATGCATTAGATTAATATTCGCCTCCTGAATAAGATCGTAAGATCCCGATTGAGGAAAATTGGTTGTCAATGAGAGCAATGAAAACTTGAAAGATAGAGAACCTCTCTTTGCACAGAGAAAATAAACCCATGTGACTATAGTTGTTAGTAGAAGTAACAAAGTATTTGCAATGATTATGAGATACCATAGGTGCAAGACTCCAAACATCACTATGAACAAATTCGAAAATATGCAAAGCATGAGAACCATAAGAAGGGATCAGTAAAACCTTACTCTTAGCAAGTTTACTTGAAACACAATCCAAAGAGATAGATGAAATCGATGCAGAATTTTTATTACCAAGTAAATAAGAGTTTAACAAGTGTTGTAGCACATTAGAAATATCAAAAGTAGTAGAATTACAGACACACAAAAATGAAATAGGCTTAGGTGAAATAAGAAAAAGATGTCTCTCCTTAGGCTCTCTCATGATCGTTGTCCTAGATCATTTTTATGATTTCAGTTACCGATTATATCAAATGAGGGAGTTCGATCTCGGTTCTAGAGATGGAGGTATTTGTGTCAATATGTTCGTAAGGGACACATTCGCACTATCATCCCTCAGTTGATCTTTTGGTTTTATGGCTTGCAAGGAATAATGCATAGCATAATAGTATACACACGGACTCTCGAAAAATAATTGGGGGAGTCTACTGCACGATTGTGCTTCTTCACATAGGTCGCCTATTCTGGCCTATTCATTAGCATGGGTACATGGATACGACCTTTCTCTTTGGCATTTTGTTGACTATTCCTCCCTCAGCACCCCCTATTTTGGTTCTTTGGCATATTCCACTGATCGAATTTTATAAGATCAACACTGACGGACGAATCAAGGATGTTTGCTAGTGGTGGGGACATTATCGGGTATCATTCTGGTCATTGCATTAGAGCTTTCTCATCTTATCGGGATGGCTCCAAGCTGAGATATGACTTATCTTGGCTGGTATTTATTGTCCTCGCCGACTAGGATTATCCGACATTTGGGTGGTGGCAGATTCATCTGTGGCCGTTTACTGCATCATTAGAGGCGGAGGATCATGGGCGACATAGATCATTCTTAGACTGATCATATATTCTCTCTATTGATCATGAACTAAGTTGCTGATTCACTTGCATTTGTAGGATGGGATCTGCAACATTATCAATAATTTGGTCCCCTTGATCTTCCAACACGGACTTCGAGCTCTTGCTCTGATTGATAGATATGCTTTTCCTAACATTAGAGAGCATTAGTTTGATTTTCGTTTGCTCGCTTTGTATGGGAAGTAGTACTTCCGACTTCTTACTTCTCTTCATGTATTGCATCTATTTGCTTTTGGAAGGTTAGGTTTACGCTCCCTTCCCTTTGTACTCATGGACTTTGTTTTTATATACATGGTTGGGAATCCAAACCCCATCAGCATACTTTGGAGGCACCTGATGTTCTACTTAAAAAAAAAAAAATAGTAGAGTGCGCAATATTGATATACGGATATTTTTGTAGTCTCATAGATATCAGAGCTGGTATTTCTTCCATAGTATGACAGTTAAACCTTCTACATACATCCCATGAGTCGAAACTCTTTTTTGACTTAACAATGACATATTTAATACTTAAGTTTTTTCAATAATAGTTGCTGAACCTTGTCTCCAAGATCACACAGTTAGAATGGTGATAAGTTGACTTAACTAATTTTTTCTTGAAGTGTTCCCAACTGAGTTTTGCTTTTACATCAAAATGCAGCCCATGCACCAATTTAAATGAGTGGCGGTGAAACTTAAATGTGATCATTATGTGCTCCAATACCGTCAAACCACTTCATCTAAAAGTTTAAACTCTCAGAGATGGATTTGTATATAAAATTTTGTTTTCTGCATTAATAACGTCAAATCACATTAACTTTTACTTTGAACTTTGTTTGCTTTGCTAGAATTTGGATTCTAAAATTCATCACAACAACCTCCTCAACAACATACTGGCCAAGGTATGATCTGCAGGGGCTCATGCAACTTAAATTTGATTACTGCCCTAGTATCATAGTAAATTACTTTGCAGGAGAATTACTTAGATCTATATTGCAATTTGAGGGGGGAACTTGTTGATTTATGCTGTTAATGCTCAATGAAGTGTGATATGTAGGTATTTTATTTATGATTTTGCTCAGAATTATTGGAGTTTGTGCAGATAGAAGGGAATAACGCCAAAGCTGATGATGCCCTTATGCTTGATAAAGACGGTTATGTGTCAGAAACGAATGCTACAAATATTGTAAGTTCATTACTGGCCGCTGATAATATCATTTGTTCCCAGTGGGCTGTAAATCCAGATGTCCTAAGATTATAATGTGTTCTATTTCACCATTTCAGAGCAGAGTGTTCCTCAGGTTTTCAGTTATGTTGGAATCAGCTGTATTTGATGTTCTTCTGAAACCTAATGCACTTTTATTCCCTTATATTGCAGTTTTTAGTGAAAAAAGGCTGTATAGTGACACCTCATACTGATAACTGTTTACCTGGCATAACTCGAGCCACAGTAAGTTTGACTATATGCCTTTTTAAATCTTTCACTCTTCATGGGTCTGTACTGGAAGATTCTCTCATTTAATCTTTTTGAATTTATTAATTGTTGAAGATATGAATATGACTCAGAATGGTACGACTTGCATAAATTGGAAGGGAATCTAATAGGATCATTGACCTATATTTATTATTCTTTCCTATACTGAACCAGTTTGAATCAACACAAGGAAAATCATTCTATTTCTCATCATGTTAGAAGAGTTCTATCAAAGGATTGCCATTCCTTCTCAACTTTTAGCTTTCATTGCTAGTATTCCAGCCTTCATTGCTGGTCTTTCTTCATCCTATTTTCGCTATTGTTTCTTCCCAATTCTTAGTTTTCATTGCTGACATTTTTCATCCTACTTTATCATCCCTAGAAATCAATTTAGAAAACTATGTGAAGCTGTCCGTAGGAGATAGGAAAAAAGTCTGTTCATAGAGATGGATGATCCTACTCCCTAAGTGTTTACTTATGTTGCAGCCAAACCTCAAACCAGGTTAGAATTAATGATAATAATGATAAGCTTTGTGGTGTGATCATATCACTAAGCTTTGTCATTCAAGGGAACATCATTGAAATTACATGGAAAACTATCAACCATGACCTACGAGTTAACAATAAGCATCTAAAAACTCATATTAGAGAGCAAAAACAGGGCCTTTTGAACCACCAAATTTCACTGAGAAGCAACTAGAGAGCACTTCCATTATTTTATGGAAATCACTTCCAACGCTTCGCATATTACAAATCTGACCCAGAAAAGGCAAGTCCTTGCTTCCCTCCATCTAAAAAAAATGCAAATCAGGCACTTGAATAATAGATTCAGGAGTCGTGGACCACAAGACAGGTTCATCGAGTTTGTTCTCGTCTTATTTTTAAGGTTTGGGAGCCAAAAATTTGAGATTGTTTGAATTGGCTTAGTTTCTATTTGAACAAGCCTCGCAATGAGTTCAAACTAGAAATTATAGAGAAAATAATTGGGACATAAATAAGAGTAGGTATGGGAAATCTGAATTACTCTTATTTTCTTTGATCTACAAAGATATAGACCCTATTTATAGGTTATAAATAGCAATAAAAGAAATGTTATGACCTACCATAACATGTCTGATGAAGACCATAATTTGTTATATAAAGACTAACGGTAACCTACCCTATAAGAAAAGAAAGAATTTATACTAATTATAAAATTTCATGACTGAGGAAATTATCACATATAGTTTTCTGAATCTCTTAGACAAAGGATACATAAATAAGAGGCCTAGCTTGCCTAGGAAAGTCAAATCTTCAATACTTCTCTAGCATTTTTACAACCTAATTGGAAAAAGTAGAATTGTTCAACTATCTTGTTGATTAACCTCTACAAGATGGGATTGATTGGAGGAAGAATATACATTTATTGAAAGCGGCACAGGCGCTCATGTTTCAATTGAGAGGACATAATTAGTTTTGCTAGAGAATTTGATATTAAAGGCTGGATGGATTCCTGTTTCTCAATCTATAAGCTGTTTGTTACTTTGTTTAGATGCACATATATATATTGTTTACAATTATCTTGGTGACTATAATAGATTTGAGAATGGGGCTTTTAATCCTAGTGCAACACCGGACTTGTTTCCAGGAATATATGAACAGGACTATGCAATTAAGACTGGTCACTGGTTTAATGAGTTTGTTCATGACTTTCAGTTTCACTGCAACCACAATCATTTCAACGAGATAAAATTTTATTTGTTCTTTGATTTTTTATGGATGCCTTGAAATGCAATATAATATATTTGTATTTTTCAGTTGATTGCTATGATCACCTTGGCCGCTATATGCTTCGTTAGCAACCCATTTCTTTCATGCAGATTATGGAGCTTGCTATTAAAGAAAATTTGGTTGTAGACGAACGCCGTGTCAGTTTATCAGAGTTTCATACTGCAGATGAGGTTTACACTTTCAACATACAAGATCTTTATTTCGTACATAATATATTATAACTTCAACCCTCAGGAGAATTACTTGTTTGTTCTGTGTTAGACACACCAATGGTTCTCGACACCACCATAGAACTACTAGCCAAAACTCGACGTTCATATTAGTCAAATGTCATCGAGGACTGGAAAGTATCTACCATTTTAGTCTGTTAAAAATCTAGCAGGGGGAATATTAGATTGAGAAAAAGTAAAATGCTAAACATATTAGTTGTAAACATTTTATGCTCCAACTGACTTACAATTCTTGGCATTTTCTGATTGTGTGTACAAAATAAGAAATATACTATTTGTGCACTCCTGTCACCTATTGCCATTGTCTTCATAATGGAAGGTTGTCCATTCAAACAAAACGTAATTCTCTGGAACTTTTTTCTTTTAGACTTGACGCACTTGCCAATGTTAGGAAAATCAACTTATGTTGGCTAGCTTTTGAATTTAGTCTACTCATTCAATTGTTATGTTAAGAGGTATATACTCGTTAGATATTAGTGGCCGCTATAATCATTTTACTAGATTTGGAACTTTTAGGGAAGTTATCATTCTTTTGTATCACATAATCTTTTCTTTATTTCTAGTTATCATCCTCTACCTGATTCGTTCTTTCTTTCAAGTTAGTGGGCAGCGATAACAATAAACTTCATCTATTTAGTTATAATTCTTCTGGTTGGTGATTTATAGCATATTTAAGTTGGATTTAAGCAATACCTTTTCCCTGCAGGTGTGGACAACAGGAACTCTGGGAGAACTCAGCCCGGTATGTTATCTATATCCGAGCATTATTATTTCATGATGATGTTACTTAATTGGTTATGTGGGGGCATCAAATGCCTTCTGTTTTCATTCTTATTTTACTCAATATCCTTCTCTTTGTTTGCTATATTGTTCATAGTAAGTCCAGTGTCAAGGTTTCTTTCAGTTTATATTATTTTAACCTGTTATGATTATTTCAGTAATCTACTTTAAAACGGATTAGAGGTGATGAACAATTAACTATTGGGTATTTACTTAATAAACATGATATATTAACTAAAAGTCTCACTAAATTTTAGAAGTGATAAAGTAATTTTTCTCACTAAATCAACCATAGGTAATCCAAAAAAACAAAGGTTAAAGCCAAAATCTCTGATACTATAGATTTGAGTATCTGGTTCTGCATTTGGGTGTGGCTTTTTGAAGCCAAAGAGAAGTCCACATAATGTGAGGCAAGGTTGCCATTGTCAAATTGATTCAGTTTAGTTCTTGTCGAATTTGGTCTCTTTGTTTCTACTTTTGTAATAAGATGTATGCTTACCTCTGAACGATCTCTTATGCTCTGATGTGCGATGTAAGTGCTATCAGTATTCTGCTTCTGACCTTTTATCTCGGTCATTGCCTCACTGGCTGTATGAAAAATGGGTGCATCTTTTTCTCGAATGAAACAGGAGAACTTAACAGATACAATCTTTAGAAAAGAGCAAATTCATCATCCTTCTACTCTGTTAGCTTCTTAAAATGATACTCATTTTGCGCTAGTGATAACATGCCTTCCCTGCTTAAGCTATCCATTGCTTTAAATTCTGTTATGAGAGAGTAAGTTGTGGAGGCCATTTCCCATGAATTCGGTATTGTTGCTGTTGTTTCCAATGATGTGTCTTTTTTCTTTTTTTAAGGTTATTAGGGTTGATGGACGCATGGTAGGTGATGGTAGAATCGGACCTGTGACTCAAAGAATGCAGAAGGCTTACATGAAATTTACAGCAGAATCTGGTGTGCCCATCCCAACTTACCAAGAGTGTTGAGAAATATAATTCAAGGTACCCATTTTTTCCTTGCATTCATTTCCTCTGTCTTCACATCAGCTATCAATTCTTCTTTTCTTAGTTTACAGTAAATTGAAGTGTCTTGATTTCAATAAAAATACAACTTTGCCTCAACATTTTCTCCTGTAGTAAATAAAGTTGAATATCTTAGTCATGAACCATCTTAGAAGTTTGAAAAAATCCTTAAAATCTACTTAAGACTCTTCACTTACGATTCAAATTTATGATATCTACATTAGCCACCTTAAGTCAAATTATTAACAAAGCAGAGCATATGGTTTTCACATCCAAATCCTGTTTAGGGTCGATACAAGAACATCAGTTGTCCCAAACCCGAAATCTACGTTCTATTGGATTCTTTCTGAAGAATAATATGCAGACAAATGACAAAGAATAGGCTTTTCTCCTCTTAGGAACATTATATGGCCGGTGTCTAATGTTAAGTTGTTATTTTTGTATATTACATTACTATTGTTATTAATTCTATTGTGTTGGACCATTTGATCTAAAAATTTAAGCTATTAAAAGTCACATGTATACTATTAGAATCATGCCTCCTCATGCTAGGCGAGATTCGTTTTTCCCCATCCTCACATGTGCACAGTTTCATTAAATGGGTGAAACTGAAACTCAACCAAGGACTTTTGTTGCCTTTAATGCCATTTTGAACCAAGCAATTTAAAAGCTTAAGCTATTAGAAAGAACTATGTACGTTATTTAAATCTTATCTTCAACGTACTTATTTACATACACCGTGTCAAGGTTCCATTAATTTACTCAAGTGAATGGAGCAGTATCTTTTTAGTATCTGGAAGCTCAAACAGTAATTTGTACATGAAAATCGCAGGGTCATGTCACCTTGCCTTGAGACATTTCCACAGGAAAGGTGAAGACGGGCAGTCGTCATTTATGCTTTCAGATACTGGGGGTTTGATTTCTTTGTAATTTGTTGCTGTTTTAAATTTCCTGTCCTTAAACATCGTGCCCATGCCAACAAGATTGGCAGCCCTGTTGACTTTGACTGTGAAGTATGGAATCATTTTTTATTTAAAGAGAGTTGGGGCTCTCGATTGCCATTCCTGAATCCGATAAAGGAATAGAGTAAGGGCAATACAACTTCTCTCTTTTAAGTAATTGAAGTGCGCTCTTACGAAGTGAGACTTGTCCTGCAATCTTATATTATTGTCATATCGGTGTTATGTTATGTTAATTTCGTAACAACTATAACTCTTAGTCATTGATGTCAATCATTCATGGGCCATTAGCCTGTAATAAAGCTCAGATTTTTGCTATAGTCAACACCCGATTTTCAACATGTTTCTGCATTTACAGTTTCCAGTTTTCTGTTTGCAATAATATTCAATTTCTATCCAAAATCTAGGTGGTGGTGTTCAGATATAGATATAGTTCACTGATGCTGGAACATAGTGCTCAGTTTCTACTATGTTGGGAGATAGACGCTCAATGAGACCTCAAGCACTGACGATGAGTCGACGAATTTTTTTTAAGGAAACTTTGTATAAGAAGGCCTTGATAATAGTTCAATTGTCGAATTTATTTGTCAATTCTTCTCTCTCGAGCGCATGCACGCACGCGTACGGTCAGACAAGATCAAAGCAATATCTAAGCATACGGTCAGCATGATGCTCGTCCGAGAAGAGGGTAAGACTGAAAGACTTGTACTACACAAATCATCTGATGAAAGACGTAGAAACATGGTACAATTTAGCTGAATAGTTTATCCTTGCATTAGTCATCTCTGCGAGGAAACTCAAACCATCTTTTCGTGATTCAAATTGATTTTCCTCTCAAAGAAATCTTACACGGACCAAAAATAACTGTATATTCTCAGATCTTCCGACGGCGAGGGATAGGGAATTAGATTCATATTTACGACTTTCCAGGGGGAAGAATTAGAGTACTAACCGGGAATTCCCAAAGACAAATAGCAAAGTCAAGTATGAGGTTTTAATCATCGGACTCAACCTGGGTTTGATCATGGATGCACAGTCAACTAAAGTGCAATTGGTAGTGGGTCAGGTAACGTTGGAGTTTGAAACAAAAGATGAAAGAATTGCAACTTATCTGATTAAGAGTTGGAACATAAGTTTGAAAATTTTGAAATCCTTAAAGTCGCTCTGAAAAACAATACTGGGACAAACACGTTATCTCGATTGGCGTTAACCATCCTGCGGGATTTTCCACTGGATAGCTTATGCGCAGGTACTTCCTGAAATATAAATCCTTCCAGGAGAATGGGGAAAAGAACCAATAGAAGTAGCAAACACAGAAAATTGGTTTGAACGTGTAATCATTGTCTTCCAACTAAATTTAAAAGTTATGGAGAACGAGACAACCCTAGCTACCATCAAACTTATGAATCAAGACCTTGTTCATTGATAAGTGCATTTTTGCACTTATTTGGATCATATTACTAAGTTTTAATATCATGAAAGTGTTGTCTTTTACTTGGGTAAATTTTCATTTATTTCAGTGATGGACCTGTTTCTAAGCAAATAGAAAAGAAAAATGGGGAAATCCAAAGTATGAGGGCTAAATTGCAACATTTTAATAGTTGATTTGGACCACAAAATGAAGATTAAAGATGCTGCAGATTCAATTGGATGCAATTAGAAGTCGAATGGTTGAAATTGCTAGAGAAATGATTTAAAAGACTTAAAAATTGAATTCGAGGACTAAATTGTAACATTCAAAAGTTTTTATAACTGGGTGATTGCTTAGTTATTTAGAACGGGTGACTGCCCAACTACAAGGAACAATTAGTGAAGCGAAAAATTTAGTTTGGGCGAATGCCCAGGCCAATCGCGAAAAAATTCTGGTTTTCTAATCTGACTAAAATTCTTATGGAGACAAATTTTGGATGTCTTTTAAAGCCTTAAAAACGTCCATAAGAAGGGGGACACGCATTATAACATATTCATAAGGGTTTTAGAGTGTAGAAGGAGGCAAGAAACAAGAAGATCGACCCCAAGATGCGAAAAATCAATTTCAAGATTTAAATTGGTGATGTCATTTTTTCAATATTCTTTTTGTTTTCTTTCCACCATGTTAGGCTAGATTTGTTTGTGCTAGGAATGATGAACCATGTGATATGACTTTTTAATCTTTAATTTTACATTTTTGACAATAAAAAGCGTTTTTGGAATTTAAATGATTTACATAAATTTATTTTCTCAACAATTATTGTGCATGTGATTGTGTGAATTTGGTGGCTTGTTTCATGCATTCAAAAGAGGGAATAGGCTCGACATGATATAAATCATTATAGAGTCCGATAGGGAATAGAAATATACCGTATGCTCTATGTGAATTTTTAAATGTTCATAAAAATTCAATGATTGTTGTATATTTGCATCTGTTATAAAAATATAGTTGGATCATATATGATAATACGTTCAACATTCCTCGAAAAAGATTGTTGAATAAAATAGGAACATTGATTCGTCAAAATCAACCGTGTTGTCAATGTGTAAAACTAAGCTTAAAAGGAATTAGTACATGGGGATTCGCAATCCAAGTATGTTCATAATTCATTAAAGACATCGACTTGCATTTAAACACCACTTACATCTAATTTAGTTAAGTCATTCATAATTGTATACGTAATTTATTTCAATTATACTTTCATCACAACAACACATCGTGTTATTCTTGTTTCGGTTAAGGTCGTGGTAATTAAAGTTGAACTAAATCAATCCCTGTGGGACTATATTCAGAATTAAAATCCACTTATTACTTTTTAACGAACCGTACACTTATGGTGATTTTAATTTGAAATATATTTTTATGAACAAATTTTTGGCGTCGTTGCTGAGGATTGAGTTTTAGTTTGATTTTATTTATCGTGGCACTAATTCGGACTTCTACATGTATTCTTGTATTATTATTTTCATTTCATTTTAGTTTTGTTTCCCTTTTTTTCTCTCTTTTTCAGGCTATGTAAAAAATAGTAGGATAAAAGATGACTTTGGTTGTTTTAACAAGATGCTCATATGTGACTTCATCATAAGGCAATAACAATTGGTAGTTCAAGAAATCGATGATGGGGATATGCTTGGGAGATATTTCATTATAGGACAGCAACTACGAGATATAAAAGCACAATGTGAACTAGATGAAATTGTTTTGGGTGACTTGCCTGTTGCATTATTTCTCTCATCAAAATTTGAAGTGGGTGATTTGCCTTTGAAATTATTTCTTCCACCAATTATTAATGAACATCAATTAAGAGACATCATGTCCGCCGAACTTCCAACAAATACAAGAGGAAGAGACTTTCCATGAAGATGTCATTATTTCTTTGACAAAAGTTTTGGATACGGACATTGAACTCGAGAAAAAGAAGAGGAGCATGAAAAGATCAAGAAATTAATCATAATAGGCAAAAAAAAACTTGTAGCATTCGAAGAAGAGGAAATTAGCATGTAATTCCTTGACTTTATCGTTTTCTCAAAAATTGAGTTTGTGATTAAACCTTATGGGGATATTGAGGTGTACATTGTTGAGTTTGAAACGGATGATGAGGGGAAGTCATACTATCTGGAAAATGACAAGATTAAAATTTCGAGGAAAGTTGCAACATGGAACAAAGTCAAATTACGCAAGCTAAGCAGGACCTTCAAAGTCATATTCAAAGTGCCATGAAACACTAATGAAAAGTCGAGTTCTAGACTTTAAATTAAGCGCTTAATGGGAGGCAACTCATTTTCTATTCACATACCTCTTATTTTATTTCATGTTTGTTCAATTTTAGGAACTCATGCATGTAAATGGTTTTTAACTCATTTTAACTAGTATTTTTAGACTTGCATTAGTAACTTAGGCATTTTGTCTATTGAGTTCAATTTACTTAGGCTGATCATTAATATTCTAGCATTATGTTGAGCTTATATTGATGTGATATGCATTCTCAAGGTTGCAATTTAATTTCTGTCTCCAAACAAATTTGAAAAAACTTATCTTTTCTTAGCTATAGGGTTTTTGCAGGGACGTACGCTCTATTAGATAGTTTTTCTAAAAGTTAGAATATTAGAATTTTTCGGTGTAAATTCATTACAAATATTTAAACCTTATATGCTATCACTAATATTTATTTTATATTATTTGAATAGCAAATTAAAGCATAGCAATAAGGAAAAGTAACGGTTGTCATGACATCTCCCAATCAGGCCAACTTGATTTTCTACCCATCCACATCTATCCCAGCAAGTTATGATCCTTCCCCCATTTATTTTGATGTTTTTTGTTTTTACATTATGGACACTGTAATATTATTGTTTGGGAGTGGTAAGTATTAGGATGCTTGGAATACATATTTATTTTTCAATTGCTAATTAGGCCTGGTCTGTATAACTATATAAAAAAAATGAAATAGTGTCTAATTGACGACTTGCAATTAGAAGTCGAAGGATTGAAATTGCAAGAGAAAGGATTTAAAAGACTCAAGAAATGAATTCAGGGATTAAATTACAATGTTAGAAATTTTTTATAACTGGGCAATTAAGAGTGGGTGACTACCCAACTACAAGGAACAATTAACGAGGCAAAAAATTTGGCGCAAAAAAATTTTGGTTTCCTTGTCTGACTGAAGTTCTTATGGAAACAAAATTTGGGACGTCGTTCAAAGCCTTAGGGGACGTCCATAAGGAGGGGAGCATGCATTATAACTATTCATAAGTGTAACGATCCAAAATTTAACAATTTAGATCGTTACTAAAACTTTTTATTCCATAATTAAATAAATTATTCAAATACCCCACATGAAAATTTCTAGTTCCATCAATAAAATAATTAAAATATATATGAAACATAATCAATTGAAACATGTCCTAAATCCTAAATAAAAAATTTCATATGGAAATAAAAATTAAAATGATACTAAAAATAAAAGTCCATAGTCATGTTAATCCGAATTTATTTTTATTGAATTCCATAATTTCTACAATCATGATTGCATCGCATCGCATTGCCCGCCAACCAACAACCGATTTTAATATGTGATGAGTAAGGAAAATGGTGAATACATGGGACTACTCTGTAGGACACAAAAAATCATTGTGCAATTCCAAATAAATTTTTTTAAATACATGTGTCAAAAATATCATACCGTCGTCATATCTTTAGAATCGGTAAGAGCTCAATAAACATAATATCTTTAGTACCGGATG